GCTGACATATGCGCGAGCCGACAAACTGCTGCAGCAATACGTCTGTGCAGAGACGCAGAGTAAACATACGAACGCAACCCATCAGTCTAATCATTTAGTGTCAGTGAACACATTACACTGTCCTCTACACTTCTCCATAAACCTCACAGGGACAGCAGCAGCAACTCCGCGGGTGTTCACGGCCGCGATACGCAACTCCTCTGCTCATTGATAAAAACAACACAGAAAGTCCAGCAAAAGTGGCAATAGCGATCTCAATCACTAACATGCAGATTCGCATGGGATAAGTATTATCAGAGGACGTCTGTGTTTGGTCAAATGCAGGAGGTAATTTGCAGCGGAATTAATACTTCACGGGACTAAAATTATACATGCGTATAATTTAAAAAATATATAAACTGAAATGTTGGTACAAGTATTCTAACCACATGAGTTAAACCTACTACACCTGGAGAACATACTCCACACAGAAAGGTCGTCTGTCTACCGGAATCACGCTCTTGCCCTGTGTTAACCGGGAAATTGCCCTGTATTTGGTTGCATTCATTCTCATACAGTTTTACAATCTTCCTTGTCCCTGCTGTAGAAAGGCAGGCCCATAGAATGTTTCTCTCTCCTCCATATTTGACACTGGGGATTAGGGTTGGGCGATATGGGCCTCAGCATGTATCACGATTTTTGTTGGTATGTATCACGATATGACGATATGATAATTTGAACAAAGCCTCATATAAAAGCTATAAAAACTTTAAACACACTTGCCTCAAAGTGCATTTACTGATTTATTGGCAGCAAAATGTGTAATACAGCTATTGTATATAAAACGTATTAACAAAACTGAATTGTAGAGAATTCTGTTTTGTACATACTGAAAATTGCAGGCAACATGTAATAAAGGTGAACATTTGTAATTTGTAAAATATATAAAAGTTTGTCCTTTGTAATATAAAAAGTGTAGCATTATCAAATAATTATTTGATCACTTTGGCTTATGTTTCCTAATCCCAATATAGTCAAAATGATCAAATACTGTATATGTTTTTTGTATCCTTTTGCGTTTCTATAATTATGTAATTATAACTTATTTGTAATTATATTGCAATGTAGACAAACACATGCATTGAAGTAAAATGAATGACAGTAAACAGTAAATAAAGCTTACCAATGGCACTATGAGAGAGAGTGTCCGAAGCAAGCCACTCGAGTCCAGTTGTTTAGGGCAGCTGCTTTCACAACATTAGATCCACTGTCGATAGTTACAATTGCTTCTTTTTATCTAGTTCCCAAACTACTCCCATATGTTTGAGGTAGCTCTGCGTTTTGGCACAATGTCTTCTACAATCTGCATGTCTTCACCATGGTCTTCACCGCCGCCCTCAGCCATGTTTGCTCTCTGCTCTGTTGTTGTTGTCCCTGCACGCCGCTCTGCTACACGTGCCGCGCAGATGCGTCATCAAAGTGCGCCGCACACAAACGTGTCTTCCGATCGCTGTTTTCAGTGTTAAATGATCGTTTTCACCGGTATAAGGCATTTTCTTATCATTTAATTTACTTATACCGGTATACCGGTACAAAAAAAATATCGCCCAACCCTACTGGGGATGATGCACTGAGTGTGAATAGCAGTATTTTGTAACTACGGCGGGGCAATTGTGCAGTGATGACACACAGCTGGAACTGCTTTTATGGTGCGCGTTGTGACCATCCTGGATCTGCGCCGAAATAAAATGGCGGCGGTTTCTGGAAACCTTTCAAAGTCCACAGCGGCTAAAAGCCCCTGGTTCAAAAAATGCATCCATTTGAGTCGAGAGCTGTATTTTCTACTAGTCTTTAAAGCTGCTTATGACTAATGGAAAGTCGCTATAGGTTCCACTGTGTATCAGTCAGAACTACAGGCTGCAAAGATGGCTACCTGCTTTCTTTTAAAGCAGTGGGGGCGGGTCCCGGCTCAAAAGTGGCCAAAATGATGTGCACGGACATGCTTGCAATACAACCCCGGGCCGATGGGGGTGGACCCATAATGAGAATTAGCCAATGCTAATGCTAACAAGCACCTTCTTACCTCTCAAACGTCTTACAGGATCGTCCAAATGTTGGCTCTTGGCCAAAAGCTCCGTTCCACATGTGTGTCAATGCTGAGGGGAGTGAATTTTTTTGGACCACTCTAGTTTACTTGCTGTGAATTTTTGAAGTCACTCGTTTAAACGAATAGAGCTCTCGCCGGCTGACGCATGTGCAGATGCGTTTTTTCACTATTTTCTTGTGGGTGGGACCACCCGTGGTCATTTTGGGTAGCTCCAGTAGAGCAAATTTTTTGGCCCATTTGTTTGAACGGTGGAGATAGGCGTGACTACGTCCGTTAATATTTACAGTTCATTCTTTAGAGTCGTGATGGGAATGCCAACTGCTTCCACTGCTTTTTCTTAAGCAGGGACAGGTCAGCTCCTGTCCCTGACCGGTAATGTGTTTTTTCTTTTCTTTAGCCATGTTTGTTTTACATGGGGATTTCTGTAAATGTAAATTATCCCAGTCCGGTCTGGTTCTATCAAGAAATTGAAGCTGGAGCAAGGGTAATGTTTAGCAAATGTAATCGCTAGAAATTTTTTTGCCGCTACTCCCCACGGGCTCCGTTAGCGGTAAAGGAGATGGCTAGGCTAAATGCTAAATGCTAACAACAGACTCGGGCGCACTACATTCGTCACAGTAAACTCAGATCCAATAGTTTCAATCTGCAAAAGGAGTTAACCCATCCCACCTGTAAACAGAGCTCAATGGAGCACCTCCAGACCTTAGTATGAAATGTAATTTGTACTATGGTGTGGTACGACCAGGCTACAATTCTCCTAATCCTCAATTCAATTTGATTTTTGATTTTAAGGTTGCCTCTTCAGTCTTCAATTTGCGGGTACAACTACTCACGAGAGCCCTTAAACTAACTTTGATGCACTCTCATTTACCAAATCTCTTTGATTTAAATGAGACACTGACGTCATTTTGATCGATTTTGACAAAAAATCAAAATTGTGACACCCCTACTGAAAAAACACTGGCTGGAAATGTTCGCATGGATTTGAGGACCATTCACAGAACTGGTATAGACGGTAAATAACCCACTATTTGACCTACCTACAAAGCCTTCTCTCCCATAAAGGCCAGTCGATTTGTGTGGAGTATGACCAGTCGTTGACTCATGTACAGCTCAGCTTCTCTAGATTCACCGTTTTCTTGTTGGGGTTGTTATTTTAGGTGAATGGCCATGTCTTGGTAAGGTTGCAGAGGTGCCATTCCGAATAATAGAATAAACAGTGCTCCAAGAGATGTTCATGCTGCTTGAAATTTCTCCACAACTTTATCCCTGGTGTGCTCCTTGGACTTGTTGCTGTTTTGTGACAATACACTCTAAATATGACTAAGACCTTCACAGAACAGCTGTAATTACACTGAGATTAGTGTATATTATATTAATAGTTTGGTCAACATTTACCTTTCATCTATCATCATGCAACTTTGAAACGCAATTGGATGTATTCAGCGAAGAGACGATCTTTTCAGTTTTATTATATACAAAAATAAAAATTAAACATTTTTTAAAATGTATGATTTTTCTTTTACTTTACAATAGTCTGCCACTTTGTGTTGGTCTTTCACAAAGCCATCCAATAACATCTTTGCGGCCATAACAAGCTGTTTAAAAAAGCTAATGGAACGCATTATCAAGGCACTGTATGGAGCAATGAACATTATGAAGTCCTTTTTGTTCATCGTTGATAAAAGCACAACACCTATCATACTGTCAAGATTTCCTGCTGTTTTTCTCTTTATATGAGTCTATTATCGGCATATGGCAATAGTTTACTATTACCCTTCATGGGTCACTTCACTGGTCTAAACTTAATGTTATTTGTGGAAGAGATGATGCCGCCAACTTGTCAATGCATAAGTGGGAGAATAGGGCCTTATTGACCACAAAGCTCTCAGCTCCTGTCATGGCGAGACGACAGATGGGTGTTTTTCTTGAATGCTGTGAAACTGATTTGCTTGTTCATATTGTTGGTTATGCTGCTCTTCCAAGAGTTTTAATGCATAAATGAGTAGTGGTCATTCTCCATGTGATTTGGTCATGTTAGATGTATAGAAGATGTTACATTCTTGGCTCCAGAATTAGAAAGTTGCATTGCTTCATATCCTATGTGGTGATGTGGTTGCTGTGGCCTCTGCTAAGAAGGGGGTGTGTACTGCTGATGCATGGATGCAGCAAAGACAGTGACTCCTTGTGGTGGATTTTTGAAAGGGCACCACATGTTCACATTTGTGGTTTTATTGAAGCAAAGTGTTGTTTGTGCAGTGTTTTTTTCCAACACATCTTCATTTAGGATGTGACCTTTGGCTCAAAGTATTTAAAGGTTGGCTGAGAACAATGGGGCACTCTTTTCCCAATCAACTCGAGGTGAAGAGGAAATGTTTTACTGTGTGAAGAGAAGTTTGTGTGAATAATGTCTCATATCGTGAATGTGGCATGATGACTAGAAACCCAGAGCTGGATGGAAAATACAGGGATTGGTTAAAGTTTCCCAGTTGCTAGTTCCTCTAATTCTTTATTCCCTTTATTCTTAATTTTAAAATGTAAAAGTTATTTTAAACAAATGATGTACACTATGGAATGAATGTAACTTCCCAAATTATAGTCTAAATTGGGGCTCAATAGATATTTTTAGGCATATATAATGAAAGTTTTTCGTCCTTCTATACCAGACTATTGTAAGATAGCGATGTTATTACCTTGACATGTTTCGACGGTATACTTCAGTCTTTCTCGGAAGCGTATCATTTTTGGTTCGACCATAATTTCAAGATGACAAAGCAACAAATATTGGAAAACCTGACGACAATATTGGTCGATATCAGCCAATGATCTGTCGAGCCCTAGTCTTAATGTATAATTCTGTGTAATAATACCAAAGAATAATTGTTCGAGTAACACTTTTTCCTCTTTTCTCTAGTTCTTCCTCACGTAAAGACAGCAGCAGTGCCCCGGTTCCAGCACAAGGGAAAAGCAGTGCCCATAAAGTTTGTCTGGTTTGTTCTGATGAAGCATCAGGTTGCCACTATGGTGTCCTCACCTGCGGAAGCTGCAAGGTCTTTTTTAAAAGAGCAGTTGAAGGTAAATCATTTTACCAAATAACCCTATTCTGAAGGATAACTGTGCCTATCATGCTTCTGAAAGTCAAAATTGGGTATATTTTTCTCACACGATGTGGCCAAACATATTTTTCTGTGCTACAGGGCAGCATAATTACCTATGTGCTGGAAGAAATGACTGCATCATCGACAAGATCAGGAGGAAGAATTGTCCCGCTTGCCGTTTCCGCAAGTGTCTAATGGCTGGCATGAACCTTGAAGGTCTGTAGAAATTAGATCAATATACATTTCCTATACATTTTCTCATTTTAATTGTATTTGTTTTTAGCCCGTAAAATCAAGAAGAATCGTCAAAAAGGTGAGCAGCCGCGTAATGTGCCAGAAGTGCTTCAAACCTCCCCACCTGTGGAGCCCCGCCCCCTGGTTCCCAAATGTATGCCCCAGCTCGTGCCCACCATGCTGTCCCTGCTGAAGGCCATCGAGCCTGAGACCATCTACGCAGGCTATGACAGCTCACTGCCTGACACGTCCACTCGCCTCATGACCACGCTGAACCGACTGGGAGGAAGACAGGTCATCTCTGCCGTCAAGTGGGCCAAGTCTCTGCCAGGTCTGTGCCTCACAACATGTTTGTATCCATTTGTTATTAAAAGCAATTACAATATGAGGGAAGATTGGGGAAACACAAATGTTCATGTTCAGTAACCTTAAGGGTTTGTTTCTAGCTGCGTATAAAGTTCAGTCTGGTAAAAAGCCACGTTGTTCAATGACTACAAAACGTGCCGTGTCCACCTCTACACTGCGCGTTTTTTAGTCAAGTTTGTGTCCTCTGAGCATGTTTACTGCAGACTCTGCTGCTAGCTAAGCGGCGCCGCTGCTGTGTTGAATTTACAGTCGGTGTTGAATGAGACACATGCGAGGGGAGAGGCTGGGGGGGAGCGGAAGGAGGCGGGGGCCAGCGCAGTACAGAGAAGGCAAACAGGCAAATATCTCGATAATGTGAAAAAGCTTATCGTCAAACTTACTTTCGCGATATTATCGCCCACCCCTAATTGGCGCTAGAGCTGATGTGTGTTTTTTATGTCTTCAGGATTCAGGAACCTGCACCTTGATGATCAAATGACTCTTCTGCAGTGCTCTTGGCTCTTTCTCATGTCGTTTGGTTTGGGATGGAGGTCATACCAGCAATGCAATGGCAACATGCTCTGTTTTGCCCCAGACCTCGTCATAAATGAGTAAGCATTAAGTATTTGATACTAACATTCTCATCTGAGAAGGTATACATGCTAGCATTTCACATACAGAGTAATAATCCCCGTGCAGTAATTTTAGTATATAGATTGTTATGTTATAAATGAATGAATTATAAATAAACAAAAAAAGTAATTCTGCTATCATTAGTCATAAAATTGGAAGTTTTAGTGTTGGCTCTAAAAAGGCCCAGAACTTCCAGCATCTACCAAAGGTGGTTGTTATAAACTCTATCTGCTAATGCTATGTGCAGTGTGTCTGTTAAAAGTTGCACTTGTCTGTCAGTTTTCACCACACATCTCCACAGGATTCTGACTCTAATGTGACTTGTGCTGAGGAAAGACCTCCTCCCCAACTAAGGCCTTTTCCCCCAATTTTTCAGATTGCCGTCAGCGCGAGATATAGATCTGGTCCTGGAAGTTCAATATAAGATAAACCATTATTCGTCCCAGAGTGGGGAAATTTCCAAAAACCTGTCCATTTACATATTAAGTGATTAATATATTAGTAATTACATTTTAATACAATATCAAGTATGAAGTATCTGTTTAATGTTACTTCACCGAAACCCTAATTAAGCCTTAATTTGATTTAATAAAGTTTTTTTTTTGCTGATATTAACTTTGATATTGACAGTTTTTGATTTATACTCTTAAGTTATGTAGTTACTTGCAGGATAACAGTTAAAATGATTTTAGTGTTTTTCAGTCTACATTCTGCATCAGTAATCACTGATGATTGATGATTTAGTTTGCTGTTTACTTACTCCTTGTAGTGGTGAGCGATGAAGGCAGGAGCGGAATGGTCATGGGTGCATTCTGAACAAATTGTTTCAATTGCTCTTTTTTTGTTTGTCCCAGGGATAGAATGAAGCTGCCTTTCATGACGGATCAGTTTGAGCAGATGCTGAAGATTTCCAGCGAGTTTGTCCGTCTGCAGGTGTCTCATGATGAGTTCTTGTGTATGAAGGTCCTGCTGCTGCTCAGCACAGGTAAAGGACACTTCAGCTGCTCATCCTTACAGGCTCCACTGAGGGCTACTATAATCCACGCTATAAATGCCTAACTCAAAGGTCAGGAACCTGTGGCTTAGGTCAGATGTGGCTCTTTTGATGGCTGTGTCGGGCTCTCAGACAAATCTAAGTGGGCATTAATGTTTTTTGTATTGGATTTGTTCAGTATAAACATTTTATTAAACAAATGAATTCATTTTGAGACTAGTATTACACTCTAAATGTGTTGATCTTGTTTATCAAAATCACACATATTCATGGTAAAAAACAATGTATGGCTTCCACAGAAATGTATTTAAAAGTATGAGACTTTTTTTGGCTCTCCCAAAAAAGGTTCCTGACTCCCTACTCATTAACTATTACCACAAGAGTAGATACCAATTGGTTTTTTTTAACGGACAACCAAACACCAACTTTTTTTTTTTACTCATTATCTGCATAAATTTAAATAAAGGTGCTTCTTCAGTACCCTCTACATGTCCTGGCTGATTGTTTGACATTTTAGTGCAAATTAGATTAAATCTCACTTTTGAGCCCTCTCTACATTTTCGGTGGCACTACATTTGAATATGGTCCTGGCCTCTCCATTGGCTGTGGTGTAAAAGCAGCCAAGTCTCACACGCCCCGTAGCGAGTTGGAGTATTCTGACGACTGCTAGTGGTTTAAAATTAAATTACATCAGTTGACCACCACTACTGCAGAATTCTGTGGCTTAGGTTCAGGTGTCTAGCTCTACAATTATCTTAGCGCGTAAACAAGGGTGGAATGAGACTTTCTGGTGTGTAAACTATTGCTTTAAGCCATTAATGACAACTGATTTTTCACTTTTCAAATGTTCATGTGGGCGGATTCATGTTTAGTTTTCCTTTTAATAATGACTTTCTTTACAAAAACTTTCCTTTTTTTGTCTTAATGCTATTATGTATGTATTGTGCCCAGTATTGCTTTAAGACTGCATATCTGTTTTTATAGTGCCAAAGGATGGTCTAAAGAGCCAGGCGGTGTTCGAAGAGCTGAGGATGTCATACATAAAGGAGCTGGGCAAAGCAATAGTCAAAAGAGAGGAAAACTCCAGTCAGAACTGGCAACGTTTCTATCAGCTCACCAAGCTCCTGGATTCCATGCATGAGGTATTAATCACTCTTCTACAGCTACATTTCTATAATGAAGTTAGTGTAGGCTTGTTCATATGAAGAGTTTTACTTACTGTCAGGAAAATGTGTTTTTTCAGATGGTTGGCGGGCTCCTCAATTTTTGTTTCTACACTTTTGTAAACAAGTCCCTGAGTGTTGAGTTCCCAGAGATGTTGGCAGAAATCATCAGCAATCAATTACCAAAATTCAAAGCTGGGAGTGTGAAAGCGCTCCTGTTCCACCAGAAATGACTGTGTCCTGCCCAAACACTGCCTTAAACATCCCTCATCGCCCGCTGCCCCCTGGAGCAACGCAAGCACTAAAGACCCCACGTGTCAGTTTGATGTCCCCTGACATTGGCCCTCGGACAGAGGAGGTACAGTTTGTGGAGAGCCATAGAGAGCACACAGCTTTTGTGTTTGGTTTAGCATATGGTTTGTACCGCATAGGAATTGTTTTGTATAATCAGAGAAATATGCCAACATCCATGTTGTCTCAGGTTTCAAATTCAGAACAAAATCTTAAATAGATAACTACTATCTATACACAGGTTCTGTTTTCTACATTTTTATATAATCAATTTGTTTTCTTTAAGGTCATTGCTACCACAAAGGGTAGCAGAGCTTATTTATAATGTGCTCTCTTTTCTCATTAGTTTTTTTAGAGGTTGAAATGTTTTTAGTCATAAACAAAATGTTTTCATTCAATTGAAAGTCATGAACTTTTCTTTGATTTATGTGCTGATTTCAAGGATGATTTCTCCCACACACAAAACTCTTCCAAGTTTACACATTGTAAAAAAGGGAAAATAATGTGCCTTTTTTCTTGAAATATCATGTTATCTATTTCTTCCACAGTTGTCAAAGGCATGCTTTTCCGCACTCGCCATGGTCTCTCCTCAGATTAGTGATTGTACATTCTCACATGCAGTCATCCTGTTTGTTTTTCAGTAGCTGTGTTTGTCTCTAGAAGTGGCAGCTCAGTCCTCCGGAGAGATTATCCGTATTATTGAGTGAAGCAGATTTTGCTCGAATGCAATCTCGCACACTCAATTCTGAAGTGCGATGTGAGCGCTTTGTATCCTCAGAAAGGCTTTAAAAGACTGTTTCTTTGAATTAGTCTTATTTTATTTTGTAATTTAGGAAATAGCCGTCTAATTTGGCCCCTCCTCTGGCATGATAGTTTTACATGTTTGTGTGAATGAGTGTGACGGCATACCTGCTTCAAACAATCAGAAATTTGAAGAAGTTGTGTGAAATTTAACTGGTTTGAATAAATATATTAGCCTTATTGTTTAAATTAAAACGTCTAATTATGCTCCTAGGACACAAAGCATTCTCCCTGCTTTGATGTCGCAAACCTAAAGTTGTCCTGTGACAGAAAAAGGCATGTTATAAATGGTTAGTTACAGAGCTGATGCGTTTGTTTCTAGTTTATTTGGCATTGAAGAGTTTTGCATCAAACACTTAATATAGATGAACTGTTGGGAAGTCCTGCACAGCTGCCCATAACGTAACCCCCATACTGCACTCTGTCGTCACCCTGTCTGCATCCAAAATCAGCAAAAATACAGCTTTCCTTATCCATCCTTGTTCTTTTAGAATGGGCCTTTTATGAGAAGGGACAGCTCCAAGTTTTGCCAAGTAAAATGTAACACCTTTTTAACATGTGTTTAATGCCATTTGGTTTAAATACCACAATGAAAAAACGAGAAGGAAAGATAAGGAAGGAGGTATTTTTGAGTGAATTTGGATTTGCACTCTCCACAATGTTCAGCACTTAGCCATCACAAGTTAACGTCTGTCATCCAGTGCCAAAATCCCGGTTTGATTCTCAGTGATAATGGAAGTTTGTCAGTATTTAAGTAAAAAACTTGATTGTTAAGTGATTATAATGCTCCAGTTATCCCAGCTCTGAAATCTCTGAATCAAACGACAAAAGCACTCGGTGTGCAGTGAAATCACAAAGTCTCGCTTATTGTGCTATTGGTGAGGATTTTAAATGTGTTTCATAATAACATAATTTTTTTTTTACCCCTATCAAACCAGCACTTGCACGATTGGACTATGGAAATAAGTAACATGTTTTTTGTGTAGAAGCACAAAAAGACAAATGAACTGTGAATTTACAAATTTCTGCAGATAAAATGCTGGCACTTTATTTTTTATTTTTTCAAATTAGGAAAAGAACGCATTGTTGGCAGTGGCTATAAAGTATACACCAATGCTTAAGGCAGTCACAATACACAGAGAGCAAGAAATGTAGCTTCGGGAAATGTTTTTGCTCAGTAATCATGCAACTTTATTTCACTCATGCTAAAATATACTTAACGTGTTTCAAGAACTGCAACCTTTTTGTATGTACGTCACTTGTTATGAACCGAGGCACTGAGTTTGGATTCCTCAGTGTCTTTCTGTCTTTTTATTGTCTTTAATGGACTTTTAATGGATCTGATTGTGTTTTAACACTTTCCTATCACCCCAGCCCAGTGTCTGAGGTGCATGTCTTTGTTTTTTCATTTCTGGTACAAACCCATCATATTTGTCGACAGCCTTCACGTTACACATGGGTTACTTTCACATTCAGTCTATTCAAAATCTCTGCTGCTGCTTTATTTTAATTTTTTAACAGGAAATTATTTATATAACACACTTGCCTCCTTCAATGACCCTCAAACAGAATAGTATTGAGGGCTACTAAATATGCAATAGAAACTACTATCACCTTTACATAGACAACTGTGGCTGCTTTCTGTTTCAGTTGAACAATATATAAGCTATTTGAGATTCACCATAAACCCTTATCTCTGCAGGTCAGATTTTCAGGAAAACAATCTCAGACACCAGACAACCCAGACCACACAAAAACCATGTAAGTTTTATGTTCACCTGGCGACCAAAGCAAAGACGAGACGACGAACCCACTCAGCGTCTGTAAGCTACTCTAGACCATATACAACTGTACAGATCATGTTGGTATTTTTTAATGACTGCTTTGGTCAAATTCTATAATACTGTGAATAGGGTAGGAGTCGGTCTTTTCACTATTAAAACTGTTTGTGAAAGTAATCAACCAGCTTGAATCTTTAAAAAAAATTGCACTACCCACATATTGTTTCAAAATCTATTTTGTATAAAACATATGCAGACCTTACCTTTTTGGAAAATGATCAAGGGCCGATCAAGTTTCACTGGTATATGCTTTCTCAAAAAAAAAATGTTTAGCTTAAAGATTTGAATATGTGTATATATATAATCCATTGTAAAGAATATGTGGTGTACTTGTCTCCTGATAATAGTTTGTTTTCTATACCCTGTGTACTATTTCTCCTAGTGTGCAAGCCCTTTTCCTCCATTGATTAAAAGTCAAACTGTTCATTTGTGAATGTTTTTTCTATGGCTTTCATTCAGAGTAGCAGATAGTAAAATTCTCTGTTTGGCCTTTTCTATTTTATGACTCATAGTAATTTATTTGGTGGGAATAGTCATAGTACTTGTGGGGAATATGAGGTATCCGTTCCATCCATATCATTAATACAGAGAATTAATTAATGCATAGGCATTTTGAAACCTTTTGTCAGTTCATACTATCATTCAGTCTTTCTTTCCATTGACCAACTGTGTGTGGGCAGCGGTTTGAACCAGGACTGTCTGGAACCAGGATCATGTTCTCAGCAGTGTTCTATACAAGTACCGTACATGTTGTGTTCATTTAACAATCAAGGAAGAACTCTGAAGACACAATTAATATTTGATATTTCATCTCTAATTTCCTCCATTTAATCATGACAATCCTAAAAAAAATAGAGATTGCATGTTCACCCGCACAGATTTTCACCTGGTGCACAGTTATCCATCCATTTTCTTCTGTGCACTGGGTGCAATACAGCACCAGCACCTCACCGATTCTGCTGATGGTGGTGAGTCCTCAGGAGCCTTGAACTTCCAAAGTTGGGTTAAGTGTCTTGCCCAAGGACACAATGACAGCAGTCATCAGTGGGAATCGTGAAGTAGGTCTCGTGGTGGGCTCGAACCTATCATTTTCAGTCTGAAAAGACCAATGCTCTACTAACTGAGCCACTATAGTTTTGCTTACCACTAAAAACATGAACACTAGGTGGAATAAGTGTGTTTGAGTGAGACTGGGACTACACATAGAAATTAGTAAATACACAAGATTGTAGTTTTGTAGCTATTGTTCATTTTTACGCACTGTCCCATTCAAATAAATCCTCTTGTTCTGTGGGCTGCGTCGGGAAAACAATCAAATCAAGGATCTTTCACCGAGCAGTGTCTACTTAATCAGATGGACACAGCTCGGTGTCTACCTGGACTAATGCAAAGTGACACTGATCTTGATTCTGTAAAGATAAAGAATAATGTGTGTGCTGATAGTATTGATACACCACTAGAGGGCAACCTAAAAGCACAGGAGAAAGTTATCTGACAGATTCAGATTCAGGTCTGCTAAGAATATTGTCGCCACCTTCATGTGTAAATTCTAATACCAGCAGACCTAAAGAGCATGCTCTGTGTCAGAATACTTGTGTGAAGTGATGACAATGTCCTGAGCTCCATAAGGACTTATGCTGCTCAGTGAGCCCATAAAATTTTTACATAAAGTTTCCCCTGTCCAGCCATCGGTCAACCCTGTTAATGCCATAATGTTCATATCATATTCAGACATTGGAGGTCCTGTGTGAGGAGGTAAACTGTGGAACAAAAGATGAAGATGAAGGGGTAAACATTTCTGAAATAGACATTAGGCGTTCTGGTGTGTGACATATGGCCCTGAGGCTGCCTGCTCTTGGATGAAGTGCAGTCCTTGCTTTGACGACTCATATCTCAACGTTTTTTTTGTTTTGTTTTTATGAATGTGATTGTTTAAGCTGGCCTGTAAAGATAGAATCAAAGGCAGGAGTAAGATTACTTAGTTCAAACAAGTTGGGCACCTTTACGTTGGTGTATAGTTTGACATGATGTATTGTGATAATTACCAGAGTACATGCCCAGTGAGTTATGTCGCTTTGACAAACTATTATTAACAAATGTTGCAATAAATGGAATTTTTATGTCATTTTTATTTTATTTTATTTTATTCAAATTGAAGAAACATTGAATTTATGTTTGCTAAAAACGCACTGTTGTTTCAAAGTTATTTCTACTTATATCACCCATCCATTTTCTTCCGCTTTATCCGTTGCCAGGTCGCGGGTTAAATCCACAGGGATTCAATGCCATTTCGCCATCTTGTTTACCGGGCACGTCTGCAAGACTATATAATCATAATGTTTCGAGAATATAATAGACCTAAAGACGTAAGAAGTTATTTAGCGCATTTACCAAAACATTGTGAACGCGCATGTTTTGCCCGTGTGTGGACGTGCACGCGCGTGGACACCTGACCGCTGCAGGGGACTTTCTTCCTCCGAGAATCAGGCGGAAAGAAAGCGCCACCAGTGCTCCCAGTGCTCCCAGCTCTGGAGGATGGAGGAGGGACACGCAGCGGCGCAGCAGATGGAGCAGGGGCCGGACTTCGGGGCCTTTCTGCCGGACCACAGGCGCCTCACCCGGCTGTACTGCATGAATGGCGGACATCACCTCCAGCTGCTCCCCGATGGGACAGTGCGAGGCCAGAGGGAGGAGGAGGACCAACACAGTAAGACGACAGACACTGCAAAGAGCTGTGGTATTTCAAAACTCACGCCTCTTTAATTCAAGTATACTAACACAAAACTTTCTTTCCAACAGCCTTTTTGAAGCTTAAATCTGTGGACATTGGTGTTGTGGTCATCCATGGGGAGCAAGCTGCACTTTACCTGGCTATGAACAGTGAAGGTCGCTTGTATGGCTCTGTAAGTTGATTTTGAATAATAAATGATCCATATCCTTTACTAATATATGACTTATGATTTCCCCTTTCCAGCCATTAGTCAATGAGGAATGCTATTTCTTGGAGAAAATGGAAGAAAACCACTACAACACATATCAATCCAGAAAATACAAAGATCTGAATTGGTATGTAGGTTTGAAGAAGAATGGAAAACCCAAATTGGGCCCCAGAACCCATATCGGACAGAAAGCCGTCTTCTTTCTGCCCAGACATGTGCACGATTCAGAGAAATAACCACTAACAACCAATTATGAATGTGATGCAACTTACATAGATTGTTGACAGTTTGAAAACTAACCCACGAACAAAGTGTACGACTAAACCTAATGCCATAAGGACTAACACTTGAATTAACCTCTTAATTAAAATAATTTGCTCCTGGGCTGAAACGTATTTGAGCAATTACCAAAAGGGCTGGTAGATGATTTAGGTGAAGACCTTTTTGGAAATAATAAACCAGGATTATTCTTTTATTTCAACAAACCTAATTCTTCATATAAATAATAATTAAACCTGATTTCGTATGCTTGCAAACGAACTTGATGGAATCATGTTTTTCTTAATATTTTTTAAAACTCAATACAAAATACATTCACAAATTTCTGACCCAATCCAGCACCAGCTCAGACATGCGACATGTAAAAAATAGGACAAATAAGTGGCAGAAACGGTTTGAGACAGACAATACCAACGTTACATTTATTTAACATATGCTTTCTGTACAAAGAACTATACGGATGCAACTCGTCAGACACTTTTTGTCAAAGCAATTGGTTTGCCTACAATAGCCTACAATAACCACATTTGATTTTCACACGATTGCCAGTTTCACCTGCCATTTGTGAACCTAATTACGTATCTATCTTAAGGTATAAATGTCAGTTTGTAAAAGTGCATTTGCATTAAACATTCTTTAACATACACCATGGTCAGGGAGGATTCCAAAGATAACTGTTGTCCATTCATTATTTGTAATGAAACTCAGCATCTCCATCACTGACATGACCATGCTTGCATTGCTATTATACAGCAGCCTGTTGAATTCATTTCCTAAACATGCTACTTATATTTGTGTAAGAGTCACAAGTTTTCCGGACTATATATGTATTTGTAATATGTTATATTAGTGTGACCGTGGCACAAGCATGGATTCATCATGTTATATTACACTGTATCCTTGAAACAAATACATTCAATTTACAAACTCAACATCATTTGTTAAAAAATATTCCACCTGAAGCCTGATATGTGTGCTGTGTTTCTTCTAAAATGTATGTATGTATGTGAACCGGAAATTTGGGCTGGACCATGATGAATAACTGGATGTTGTCCCATCTGCTTGTTGTTATCTTAAACCTTTAGATGACTGTTGTATTGAGTCAACAGTGGACAGTTTTACAAACCGTTAAACTCACAATTCCTTGACTGCATAATAACATGACAGCAGTTACATTGCCCTCTACTGGCTGCAAAACTCTAAAACCAACAAGTTTATTTCAAGTGAATAAACTTTGCATTCGCTGCTTCCAGAAAGTGCCTCGATGATCCTAAACGACAGATGCATGCGGTGCTCGTCTGCTGCCATCAAATGATTTAAGGCATGACTTTGACAATACAAATATAGCACTTAACATTCATCACATTTATGATCACACACATAGGAACTATTACGTATCATACTTTCCATAAACAACAAAAACCAAACTGATTCCTGAAAAGTGAAGTGGGGCGTCGTCTACACCTTCAGTTTACTTGGTTGCTTGGTCAAAGCTCACAAACTCTGAAAACCACTGAAAAGAAAAAGCAGATGTGTTTATGTGTGAAGTAAAAACCAGAATGACACCGTGAGTGCGTTACCGTTAATAAATGAAGAGTACTCTCGTTCGAGGAAGAGTGGCATATGTGGGATCTGCCAGTTTACGCACTCGGGAGTAGTTGATGAAACCCCTGACGAACAGCATGAAGCCTGAGGAGAACGACAGACTTTATTTGACGATACAAAAGCATTTGAGCAGGGTTGATTCAAAAACAAAACAATGAAGCAAGTTCTTACCCAGGCCTAGAAAGACCCACCACAACCAGTACTGTCCATCAAAGTAGCCAGGGAAGTAGGTAGAGAACTAACGAAAAAAGTGTGTGTTTAATATATATATGTTTTTTTTATTGATATTAACTTCATTTATAACCATTTTTACCCGAACAATAAGAACCCATTTGATGAGAGAGAGGCCAAAACCAGAGATGGCACCATATCGACCAGCAGCTGATGTGGTCAAACAGAAAGACAAGAAGAAACCAATCCAATTGAAGAGGAATGCCACTGTAAAACAAAGAACGGGTGTTTTCGAATAGGTTTTATTATCGTATACTCTCTCTAAAGACATTCAATCTTACTGAAGAAAGTGAGCATAAATATTCCATCATTTCCTATTCGAAGTTGATCAGCATCTTCAAAGTCGTCTCGAGTGATCAAGTCTTCCTCCTTGGAAAAATAAACAAGTTTTAAAATACATACATGAAGAAACACATCATTTAAGCATGACAAAAAGGTAAAGTACATACTGTGACTCTCCCGGTGACTAGAGGGACACTGGCTTCAGTTTTGCTTCTCTCTGCTTCATCATAGGAGGGTAACGTAGTGGCGACACTATAGGAGGGGGGCTCAGGAAAGCTTCCACTGTCCTCCTTGTATTCATAAGAAACTGAAAAATACAATAAACTATTTATAGAATACAGGTACAAAAATGTTTATAATCCAATAACTGGACATTACTTCTGCGTTCAAACTTATTGTGAAAAGTTCCCTTTTTGAGGCGTATTTATCCGTCTACAGCAGTTCTTTTAATTCAATTCACTTTATTCTTGTATAGCCCTAAATCACAACAGCGGTCATCTCAGAGGATTTGAAATGATCAACACAGATCAGAGAATCAACAGTTAAGACACAAAAAATATAGAACGCATAGCTATTGGACCATTGGAAAGACCAATGTCCATGAATGTTGATCAAATTCATGGACAATGATCCATCCAATAGATTGCTGAAAATCACACCATGTAAAAGCATTTAGAATATGTATAAACGTTGGATTGCAGAGGGGGAAGCAACTCACATAACATGTGCATTTTTGCCTTATCTGGTCATTACTAGTACGAGTGATCAAGTGATAAAATCAAATAATTGCATACATTTCTTACTCAGCTGACAGAACATCAACTGCCTTCCCAAAGTTTGGATTTTGTGGTCATTTTATTCTTCTTTGTAATCATGGACTTTTTTCTTTTGAAATCCATCCATTTTCTATAAATCCACACTTCTGTGCTGCTCAACACACTAATGTCAATCATAATGCTAATGAGCACAGATCTCCATTTTGGATACCTGTGGCTTGAATATGACCAGACACAGATGGAAAGTTAGTCACAACCCTTTGTGTTTTCACATTGCAGCCCCGGTATTAAAGTCCAGGACCAAGTAGCTGTGATCTAATGCCTCTTTGTTTGGAAATGTTTGGAAAGTCAACCTACAAAACAATAGGTAAAAACTGGACAGTGCGTTGCAAAAGAATCTGAGACATACAGGGGACTAACTGGGATACACCATGATACACTTAGAGCACACCGCGGTAAAAAGTGTATAGGGTCAGAGGAACGTCAATAACTCTGTTGTTTTGACTCACCAGCCCATGTGTGAACAGAACATCAACTCCAGATATGTCTGAAGACACTAGAATATTCTAGTCTCTGGTCAAAACCATGAACTGTTGAAGATGTGGAGTAACCAAGTGCTAACATAGTCCTGGGAACTAGTGTCTGCGCTAGTTCCCATCAGGCTCCATGGGAGTCATTGCTTTCGAAGGTGTAGATAAGATTTGAGACACAAGTGGACAAAGTTGTAACTTAAGCAAACGTAAAGTTCACTGTTTACATCGGAGCACCTTCTGCTGCCTAGCAACCAATACTTAGCAACTGCAACTTTGTTAAAAGATGATTATTTCCAACACATTTTTAGCTTGTATATCAAAATATACAACATGTACATTTCTAATAAAGCAGTTAAACCCGTTACTGAAACTGGTGGCAGAACAAGAAGCATATATACCTTCAGTCAGTTGTTAAAACTATATATGGATTTACACAGACATGACTAAAAGAAGAAAAACGGATTTAAAGCAAAACTTATCGATGAGCACCTCCCTGTCAACACAGTCTGTCCAGTCCATGGCCAGAAGCTGCTGTGGACACACTGACCTGCATTAGCTGCAGTCACACTGCTGTAGGGTGGGGGGGCGTCCTGTGTGCTCTCCTGCTGGGACACCTCCTCTTCATTCACCAGCTTCAACAACAACATATCCGTGTCACTGTTGCCCATTATGCATCGATGCAGCTTATCATTGGCTTTATGATCATGAAATACATGCAATGTGAAGCCCCTGCATGCATTCAGTAGGCCTAAAATCAATGCTAGCGTCTATAACAGTGATTGATTTTAACGATGGTGTTTTTGCGATGAATTTGTAGGCTATCTGTGAAAATAGCGGCCAGAATGCATTGCACACAGATCGTACTACACATCCGCGTGAATTTAAATTGTGCATCCAATTTATAAGTTCAAGAAATAAAAACTGGGTTAAGTGTTTAGGTTGGTAGGTTATGTTTATGTTCCTGTGACTTGTATTGCTCTAATGTTAGCAGAGCGGCTAAAAGGCTAACGTTAGCATCATTAAGATCGCCGTGGGTGGGACGCTTACCTCGTGATAGCGCACGCTGCTGTTTTGTTCTGCCATCATCAAAGAGCAGTATTCTTTGAGCCCGGGTTCAGGATGAGGATGAAACTGCGAGAGATCAATTTTCGAGAGCAAATGCAATGTAGCAGTGGAGACAGACTTCTGCTAATCGGCCATCTCTAAACCTAAGTGAGCCTGCTGAAGGGCAGTGCTGTCTGCTGAGGATTAGAGCCAGCCTTCCACTATGCTGACTTTATTATAGTTTATTCAGAGTACTTGCACATGATGACAATCTTTCATCCATCACATAAAGTAGCTCGACTTTTATTCAAAATGCACGACATATATTACAAAAATATAAGCAGGAGTGCTCGCTATAAAAGAACATTAGTCATTCCTTATGTCAGTGCTGGAGGTGTCTGTATCAGCTTGTTGTGAACATGCATCATTCCTGCAACAACAAAGTATATTTAGAAACGAAAGAAAATTTCTGATAAGCATCTGTGATCGCATAATATATAGTACCTTTAAAGTATTTCACTGTCTTAACCCGCAGTTCTAGGGTGGCATCCTCATCACATACAAACAGTGTTTGTGGGTGTTGCTGGAATGCAGATACAGTCCACATGTGATTGACTCCTTCCTCTATGGCTTTGTATAAAGCAAATGCTTTGTGTGCTCCAGTGATGAGAATCATGACCTGTACCAAGAAGAAGACAAATTTGAAGTACATGCAAACTATCCACCAACTTGATATTAAATGGACTATAGGGTTTTACCTCTTTTGCATCCATGACTGTGCCGACTCCAACTGTCAGAGCCATGGTGGGTACTTTAGACAAATCACCATCAAAGAACCTTGCATTAGCTATTATTGTGTCTTGTGCCAGAGTTTTGACCCTTGTACGAGATACCAGGCTAGAACCAGGTTCATTAAAAGCAATGTGACCATCAGGTCCAATTCCTACAAAATAATATTGTTTTTATGAAAAGTTACTATATATTGTTAATATGTTGTTATCATCTTACCTCCAACAAAGAGCTCAATCCCTCCAGCTGCTTTAATCTTCTCTTCAAATGCCTCACACTCGGCTTGTAGATCAGCAGCGTTTCCATCAAGTATGTGGGTGTTTTCAGAGCGTATGTCTATGTGCTTGAAAAAGTTATTCCACATGAATGAGTGATAGCTCTCAGGGTGCTCTCTGGGAAGTCCTAAAGGGGTTGATTCATGAGTTAATAGAATTAAAATACAAAAGTTTAGGGAAGATGATGGTCTTTCATGTCTCACCAACATACTCATCCATGTTAAAAGTTTTAACATACTGAAAAGAAATCTCTCCTTTTTTGTAGTATTCAATCAGCTTCTTATAACAGCCCAACGGAGTGCTTCCTAGAAGAGGATAATACACATAAAGACATCGATTAGTATTAGAAATGATGGACAACTGCATACATTAAGATCCTTTATTTGTCCCACTGTGGGGAAATGTCAGTGGTGCATCACAAGTTACAGAACAGCAGAAATAGAAGCACATAACACAAATTAAGTATACCTGTATACAAATGTCAAGTGCAAAGGAATATGTATCAATCATTGCAATATATTATAGTCTGCAGAAAATAAAATGACACAAAACAACATGTGATAAAATGGTGAAATATTTTGTACAATACATATATTTTAATGTCCAAGCAGCAGTGTCACAAAATGCATGCAGTTCTTACTGCTATCAAAACAGTTTGGATTTATCCTTGGTTTGCACATGCATGTATTTCAGGATTCTGTCACTTTATATTAGAGTTTTCAGTAAAAGATCAAAAGATCACCCCTTATTGTAAAGATAATACGATTTCTATTAAGACAGTAGGTTGTGGTAAAAAAAAATCTCACAAAAGGTTTTTTTTCTGCTGGACAAAACGAATTGTATTTATTAAACCAAAAGGTACTTCAGCTTTAATAAGTAGGAAGTAGTTAAAATGCAAAGACGTCGCTCACCAGTCGGGAGTCCCAAAGTGAAAAATCTGTCTGGACCAGGTTTAAACTGGAGCAATTTGCTTCTTATATATTTCGCAGCCCACTCGCTGGCCTGGTCATAATCATTGAGGATTATCAGCTTCATTTTGCTTTTGCACAAGTCAAAAAATAAACAAAAAGCTGATCAGAAAATTGTCCTCGAAGTTATGCCGCTCAAAAACACGCCTCAGCAGGACTTTAGACTCAAACTCGAATCACGTGGAGGATCGAGTCTTAAGGAAGGCGAGTCTTGAGTCGAGTTATGGTCTTTCACCATGGATCTATAAGTCTATTACTCCGGAGGGCGGCTCCAGACGAGACTGATGCTGTCATGGAGTCATGGACGTGCTCAGTATGCAGCTGGGGCCAGCTGCAGAAAGCGCTGAGCTCAAGACCTGTGGAAGTGAAACAAATCACGTGATATCACCATCAAGGAGATGACGTTTTCACGTAACAAAAATAAATATAAGTGCGTTGGTTCAACTATACCCAGTTCTATGGTGTAGATGCCAATTTGACCGAGCGAGCCTCAATATTTGACCGCGGTGAAGTTAGTTTGAAGTTGGATATCCGACAGACATTCGCCGCAACATTTCAGTGCACCCGTACTACACACAGTACGGTAAACACGCGGAGACATGTACGCTGGTCTAATATTTACATATAAAAATTCATTAAAAATACTTAAAACACTTTAATGATCAAAGAAGAGGTGTACCCCCTGCAGCTAGTGGAGGACTATGATCCTGACCTGATTTGGAGTCAATAGGTCACATGACCTGGAAGCTATTGAGCTAAAATGCTAATATTTACATATAAAAAATCATAAAAAATACTTAAAAACAATTAATTGACAAAATAAGAGGTGTACCCTTTGCAGCTAGGGCAGGACTATGATTCTGACCTGATTTGGAGTCAATAGGTCACATGACCTGGAAGCTATTGAGCTAAAATGCTAATATTTGCCTTTAACAATTCATTATAAATTCTTAAAAAAACTTAAATGACAAAAGAAGAGGTGTACCCCCTACAACTAGGGGAGGACTATGATCCTGACCTGATTTGCAGTCAATAGGTCACATGACCTGGAAGCTATTGAGCTAAAATCCTAATATTTACATATAAAAATTCATTAAAAATACTTAAAAAAAATTAAATGACAAAATAAGAGGTGTACCCTTTGCAGCTAGGGCAGGACTATGATTCTGACCTGATTTGGAGTCAATTGATCACATGACCTGGAAGCTATTGAGCTAAAATGCTAATATTTGCCTTTATAAAATCATTAAAAATACTTACAAAAACTTAAATGAGAAAAGAAGAGGTGTACCCCCTGCAGCTAGTGGAGGGCTATGATCCTAAACTGATTTGGAGTCAATAGGTCACATGACCTGGAAGCTATTGAGCTAAAATGCTAATATTTACATATAAAAATTCATTAAAAATACTTAAAAAAAATTTAAATGACAAAATAAGAGGTGTACCCTTTGCAGCTAGGGCAGGACTATGATCCTGACCTGATTTGGAGTCAATTGATCACATGACCTGGAAGCTATTGAGCTAAAATGCTAATATTTGCCTTTAAAAATTCATTAAAAATACTTAAAACACTTTAATGATAAAAGAAGAGGTGTACCCCCTGCAGCTAGTGGAGGACTATGATCCTGACCTGATTTGGAGTCAATAGGTCACATGACCTGGAAGCTATTGAGCTAAAATGCTAATATTTGCCTTTATAAAATCATTAAAAATACTTACAAAAACTTAAATGAGAAAAGAAGAGGTGTACCCCCTGCAGCTAGTGGAGGACTATGATCCTGACCTGATTTGGAGTCAATAGGTCACATGACCTGGAAGCTATTGAGCTAAAATGCTAATATTTGCCTTTAAAAATTCATTAAAAATTCTTAAAAAAACTTAAATGACAAAAAAGAGGTGTACCCCCTGCAGCTAGTGGAGGACTATGATCCTGACCTGATTTGGAGTCAATAGGTCACATGACCTGGAAGCTATTGAGCTAAAATGCTAATATTTCCATGTAAAAATTCATAAAAAATACTTAAAACATTTTAATGATAAAAGAAGAGGTGTATCTCCTGCAGCTAGTGGAGGACTATGATCCTGACCTGATTTGGAGTCAATAGATCACATGACCTGGAAGCTATTGAGCTAAAATGCTAATATTTACATATAAAAATTCAATACTTTTAAAAAACTTAAATGACAAAAGAAGAGGTGTACCCCCTACAGCTAGGGGAGGAATATGATCCTGACTTTTAATACAGTACAGTTTTATTACATCGGTTTTAAATTTGTTGCATTGGCTTCCCGTGTGTTTCAGGATAAATTTTTAGGTTCTTTCACTGGTTTTTTTCATGTCTTCATGGTCTTGGGCCTTCTTATTACTCATAACTGCTTTTATCCAAAGAACCATCCCGGTTCTTGCAGCAGACTCCTCCATTACCAAAGCCAGGACACACACTCAAGCTGAGGCATATGTAAGTGAGTAAGTAATGTTTATTTATATAGCGCATTTTACAGACCAAGGTCACCCAAAGCGCTTTACGTCCATCACTACGACCCCGTCTCTGGAACAGTCTGCTGGAGGAGCTTGACTAACACCCTCCTGTCCCTCACCTCCTCCACAGAGTCCAAGGGGCTGTCCCGCTCTGTGCTGCCCGGGGCCCAGCACACGGCAGCGTAGTGTATGGCAGAGCCTACCACAGAGTCATAAAAGGTCCTGAGCAGCGGCCTGCTCACTCCGAAGGACCTCAGCCTCCTCAGAAGGAAGAGGCGACTTTGGCCCTTCTTGTACAGGGCGTTTGTATTATGGGACCAGTCCAGTTTATTGTTTATGTGAACACCCAGGTACTTGAAGCTGTCCACCAGCTCAATGTCCTCCCCCTGGATGTTCAGCAGCGTGTGGGAAAGTGGTTTTATCCTGAAGTCGATTACCATCTCCTTGGTCTTACTGGTGTTAGCACAGGTACCATCTCCTTGGTCTTACTGGTGTTAGCACAGGTACCATCTCCTTGGTCTTACTGGTGTTCAAGCACAAGTGGTTGCACTCACACCAGTCGACAAAGTCCTTGATAACCGACCCATATTCCAGTTCGTTCCCCTCAGACACACAGCCCACGATGGCGGAGTCGTCGGAGAACTTCTGCAGGTGACAGCTGTGTGTGTCGTGTGTGAAGTCTGAGGTGTAGATGGTAAAGAGAAACGGTGAGAGGACAGTGCCCTGAGTGGCCCCAGTGCTGCAGACTACCACCTCAGACTCACAGCTGCGCAGCCGCACGTACTGTGGTCGGTCTGAGAGGTAGTTGATGGTCCATGCAGTGAGGTAGTTGATGGTCCATGCAGTGAGGTAGTCGATGGTCCATGCGGTGAGGTAGTTGATGGTCCATGCAGTGAGGCTACTGTCCACTCTTGCGTCCTCCAACTTCCCCCGCAGCAGCGCAGGTCTGATGGTGTTGAAAGCACTGGAAAAGTCGAAGAACATGACCCTCACAGCGCTCCCTGCAGGCTCCAGGTGGGAGAGCGTCCGCTGCAGTAAGTAAATGACGGCGTCCTCTACTCCGTTGTTGGGCCTGTAGGCGAACTGCAGCGGGTCCAGGGTGGGGCTGACCACAGAGCGGAGGTGGGTGAGGATGAGCCGCTCCATGGTCTTCATCAGGTGGGAGGTCAGTGGGAGGTGAGTGCGACTGGTCTGTAGTGAGCCGGTTCCTTGGCGTGCGCTGTTTTAGGAACCTGGATCACACAGGAGGTCTCCCACAGGACAGGGACCTTCTCCAGGCTGAGGCTCAGGTTGTACATGTAGCTGAGGACCTCAGAGAGCTGGTCTGCACAGGTCCTCAGCAGCCTGGGACTGATCCCTTCCGGTCCTGTGGATTTCCTCTGAGTCAGTCTCTGGAGCTGACTCCTCACCTGGTCCGGTGTGATGGAGAGGGCGGGGGGGGGGGGGGGGGGGGGGGGAGGTGGGGGCTGGGGGTGTGGGGGCAGGACGGCCCGGGGCAGCCGAAGGCAGTGTCCACTGGGCTGGGCACGTGTGAAGAGGTGGGGGAGGGAGGGGGGGAGATGGGGAGGGGGGAAGAATCAAACTGGTTGAAATATTGGTTAAATTCATCCGCCCGGTGCTGGTCTCCATCCGCTGTCCCAATGGCACTCTGCCCAAAGCCGGAGATGTTCTTTAGTCCTCTCCACATGTCGCAGGCGTTTCCCTGAGCCAGCTTCTGCTCCAGCTTTTTCCCAAAGTCCTTCTTGGCCCTCCTGATACTCCACTGGACCTTGTGCTGGATCCTCTTCTGCTCCTCAATAAACAGGTAAATGTAGAATAATATATGTTTTTTTTTTATAAAAACATACTGAAGCAATTGGCTAAAAACATTACGAGTACCAAGGTGCTCAGAGGCTGGACCTGCTCTGTCTGCAGTTCTATCCTGCGCTCCGCAAGTCTCTCCCCAGGGTTGCAAGCAGGTCTCTTATGGGGCCCAGGCACTCATAATATTTCGAAATGGATCTCATAATAATTTGACATTATCCATCCATCAATTTTCTTCCCCTTCATCAGACATTCCAACGAGGGAGCTGTTTTGACGTGGGGGGGGCAGGGCGTTCCACAGCTTTGGTCCAGCCACGGAGAAGGCCCTGTCCCCTGGGGTTTTAAGTCTGGTCTTAGGTACCACGAGCTGGAGCCGGCCCTCGGACCTCAGCGCGCGGGGCGGGTGGTGAATTTGGATGAGGTCCGAGATGTAAGGAGGGGCCAGTCCATTCAAAGCTTTAAAAACAAACAAAATGAAGGACCTCCCCACCCACCTGGAGAGGGCAATGCACCTTTTTCCGGTCGAGCACCATCGCCTCAGATTTTGAGGTGCTGATTCTCATCCCAGCCGCTTCACACTTGGTTGCAAACCGTCCCTGTGCATGTTGCACGTCCTGGTTTGTTGAAGCCAACAGGACAACATGTTTGTAAACCGCTTTTTGACTCTGGTCTGTGAAAGGCGGTATATAAATAAAGATTACTTACTTATTTTACTTACTTAACATTGTCCGCAAACAGCAAAGATGAAATCCTGTGGTCCCCGAACCAGACCCCTTCCGGTCCCTGGCTGTGGCCTCCTAACCAGAACCCATGGCTGTGGTCTCCGAACCGGACTACATAATATTTTGAGATTAATCTCATAATATTTCGATTTTGATTAATCTTGTAATATTGTAATATTCTGACTTTACTCTCATAGCCTCTGAAAATAAAAGAGAAAATTAGATGACCCTTCAGCTCCATTGTACAAATAAGATTTTTTTTATGACAACTGAAAAAAACTACTACTTATTTTTGTTTTCAATTGAACAGATACAGTGTGATGACTGTGACAGGTGGTTCCATGATTCTTGTGTATCGTTGGAAAGCAAGGACTTGGAGGATGCAATGGAAAAGAGCTGGGCATGTGTGTTATGCCAGTGAAGAAGAGAAACAAGGGACAGGGCTATGTTCAATATATTTTCATGATGAAAAAATAAAGTCATCTCATGGTAGCCCTACTAGTGTTGCATCATGTTACTCCACTAGCTGCTTAGTACAAGTACTTTTTTCATTTTCAATCTCTAAATATTTATTTAACATGTAAATATTTCCAAGTCAAGTGATCTATTGACTCCAAATCAGTTTAGTATCATAATCCTCCACTAGCTGCAAGGGGTACACCTCTTTTTTTGTCGTTTAAGTATTTTTAATGAATTTTTATATGTAAATATTAGCATTTTAGCTCAATAGCTTCCAGGTCATGTGATCAATTGACTCCAAATCAGGTCAGGATCATAGTCCTCCACTAGCTGCAGGGGGTACACCTCTTCTTTTATCATTAAAATGTTTTAAGTATTTTTAATGCATTTTTAAAGGCAAATATTAGCATTTTAGCTCAATAGCTTCCAGGTCATGTGATCAATTGACTCCAAATCAGGTCAGGATCATAGTCCTCCACTAGCTGCAGGAGGTACACCTCTTCTTTTATCATTAAAATGTTTTAAGTATTTTTAATGAATTTTTAAAGGCAAATATTAGCATTCTAGCTCAATAGCTTCCAGGTCATGTGACCTATTGACTCCAAATCAGGTCAGGATCATAGTCCTCCACTAGCTGCAGGGGGTACACCTCTTCTTTTATCATTAAAGTGTTTTAAGTATTTTTAATGAATTTTTATATGTAAATATTAGCATTTTAGCTCAATAGCTTCCAGGTCATGTGACCTATTGACTCCAAATCAGGTCAGGATCATAGTCCTCCCCTAGCTGTAGGGGGTACACCTCTTCTTTTATCATTAAAATGTTTTAAGTATTTTTAATGAATTTTTAAATGCAAATATTAGCATTTTAGCTCAATAGCTTCCAGGTCATGTGATCAATTGACTCCAAATCAGGTCAGGATCATAGTCCTCCACTAGCTGCAGGAGGTACACCTCTTCTTTTATCATTAAAATGTTTTAAGTATTTTTAATGAATTTTTAAAGGCAAATATTAGCATTTTAGCTCAATAGCTTCCAGGTCATGTGACCTATTGACTCCAAATCAGGTCAGGATCATAGTCCTTCACTAGCTGCAGGGGGTACACCTCTTCTTTTATCATTAAAGTGTTTTAAGTATTTTTAATGAATTTTTATATGTAAATATTAGCATTTTAGCTCAATAGCTTCCAGGTCATGTGATCTATTGACTCCAAATCAGGTCAGGATCATAGTCCTCCACTAGCTGTAGGGGGTACACCTCTTCTTTTATCATTAAAATGTTTTAAGTATTTTTAATGAATTTTTAAAGGCAAATATTAGCATTTTAGCTCAATAGCTTCCAGGTCATGTGACCTATTGACTCCAAATCAGGTCAGGATCATAGTCCTCCACTAGCTGCAGGGGGTACACCTCTTTTTTGTCATTTAAGTTTTTTAAAGATTTTTAATGAATTTTTTAAAGGCAAATATTAGCATTTTAGCTCAATAGCTTCCAGGTCATGTGACCTATTGACTCCAAATCAGGTCAGGATCATAGTCCTCCACTAGCTGCAGGGGGTACACCTCTTCTTTTATCATTAAAGTGTTTTAAGTATTTTTAATGCATTTTTATATGTAAATATTAGCATTTTAGCTCAATAGCTTCCAGGTCATGTGACCTATTGACTCCAAATCAGGTCAGGATCATAGTCCTCCACTAGCTGCAGGGGGTACACCGCTTTTTTTTATCATTAAAATGTTGTAAGTGTTTTTAATGATTTTTTATATGTAAATATTAGACCAGCGTACATGTCTTCGCGTGTTTACCGTACTGTGTGTAGTAGGGGTGCACTAAAATGTTGGAGCGGCTTTCGAGTCGCTCTGAACCCAGAGAGAAGGAGAGGTGTACCGAGAGGGAATGACCGTTGAATGTCTGTCGGATATCCAACTTCAAACTAACTTCACCGCGGTAATATTTGTAGCTTTCGTAAACGTGCAGGTTTACTAGAACCTGATAGTGGGTCGCTCGTTTGATGAAAGCAGTCATAAATCTTGCCGTACAGCATTAATACATGTGTAAATAAGCGCAACACAATCTCATGTGCAGATTCTTCCAGTGCTCACCTCCACACTTTCATAAGTGAATGGCTTTGTTCTGAGCAAGTCACATTATGCCAACATTACTGATACACCATGCACCTATGCGTAATCTTTAATTTTGTTAAAAACAAAGACATTTTGGATAGTTTTACATCTCAGATTAAGTTACATTTCTGCCCATTACGAACATAATTCCATATGGAAGTAGCAAGTAGCTCAAGGACATACCATTGCATTATATTATGGTAATTAGTGCCTGTTCAATACTTTATTAAAATATTGTGACACAGACAAGAACACGGACTACAGGAACAGAAATAAATACCATTGTGTACAGCGCTCATGGTCAAACAGGCTTATTGCAGCTGTTTGTTTATTTGTAATCCAGAGAGGGACATGCTATGCCAGACACCAGTGGGATCTATTCAGTGTACTAGTTATCCTGCTTCGGATTTAACTGGAGTGATCGTCCAAAAACCCTGTACTTTTTCTCCATTACACTGTGGCCATACAACCAGCAATTATTAAGTATTTGATCACTTCTTTTTAGTCAAGGTCCATTTCAGGTTTGTTTTCTGTAGTTTCTGATGTGTTGCCAGCGGCATCAGCTGCTCCCTTGCCAGCACTGTCCTCTTGGGATTTCTCCTGCCCATTGACAGGCCCATTCTGTTCTGCAGGGGGCTCCTCCTTCGGCAACTCTACCTTAGGCTTGGGTTTGGTCACAATCGGATTACATGTAGAGAAAAGTTCCTGAAAACAACAGTTTAAAGTCAATGATAGAATAGAGTTTCTCAAGTGAGTTAATAAAACAGTCAAAGTAGTAGCAGTGAAAGTAATAGTCTACAAACACTAGACGGACGTCTGATTGGTTAGAAAATATATGAAGCTCAATCGTTTAATTGTGTTAAGATTTCTATTTCTTATTTTATATAGCTCTTTAAAAGAACATACCCTTGTTTTGGCCACAATGTCCTTGACTTTCACTGTAGGATCAGCTGTTTGACTTTGTTTGCTTTGTTGGTTCATGGCACTGTTCATCCAGATCATTGTATCATTGGTCATTTTATCAACTTTATTGACATCAGCCTCTTCCAAATGGTCATATTGCTCCTCCTTAAAAGTATACACATTCATATTAGCAAGGCCAATAAAACCATTAGAAAACCAACTTTTGTGTTTACCTTCATCTTGTACGCCTCAACAAATTTCATATATAGCTGAACTTGTTTTCCTAACTCTTCAAATGCTTTAGGTCTTTCTTCAGCCTCAATAAATCTTTCTTGGATAGGCAGACCAAGTTTCTGGAGAAAAAAAGAACAAGGTTATTCATGAGCTTATTTTTGTTTGCCAATTCAATTGCCAGTACCTTTAAGTCAGTCAGTTTGTCGATGTAGACTTGTTTGGATTGGTCCTCGCCTTCTTCATACAGCCAGTTCTCTGTATCTTCCAGCTTTATGGACAACGCATCACGGTCCTACACACAAAAATTCCCCATAAATTCGAAATCAACGATAGTTTTCATGTTTCTTGCTTTTTGACCATTCACTTATTGACTCACAGACTCGCTGACAAACTTCTCATACAGCCCATGGAGTTTGTCCCTCATGTCATAAACATATTCTTCCACATTATTCTTAGCGTCGTTCCTTTCTTTCTCAAGTTTGTCCTGCATGATCATCTTACCCTGTGAAAGAGTCAGATCAGAAACTAACTACAGCTGTACAAAAATCTTTGTTTGAAGACAGACGTAGGATAAGCATGATAGGAATGGCTACAGAATGTGTCATCATAGTTACCTCATTTTCAACAAATAAATTCAGCATGTCAAGAGCAAGCTGCCACTGTGGACTGTTTTCAATAGGAAGCTCCAGCACTTTTGTTTTGACTTTAGGCTTTTTAGCTTGTGGAGGATTGTCAGACTTCTTTTCACCTTTGTTCTCTTGTGTGGATGTCTAAACAGCAACACGAAAGGTGACATTACATTTGTGTCAGTGCCATTAAGAGTCAAGTGGTAGAAAGGTACTTACCTCCATTTCTTCAGTTTCCTGAGGTGTCTTGTCTTCTGCCTCTTTTGGACTTTCTCCTTGACCTGGCTGATCCTCTTGGTCAGTTTGCATTTTATTCTGTGAACAAAAAAACAAAAAGTTTACATTTCGGCTTGAAATATTAAAGAGGGGACTCATTACTTTGATCCATCACCTCTGCCTCCTTGTCTTGGGTCTGGTCGGTTTCCATGGGCTCTTCTGTCTCATCAGACTTTTGTACTTCGACCAGAGACGCACTGGAGACACTGAATATGCCATGGATGTTCACCCGCACCTTCACTTTAACCTTGGAGCTTTCCCCAGAAGCTTGTGGGACAACTTTCTGGATCAAAAACTGACCTAGACCAATACATGTACATTTATAAAAAATTAGGCAGTAGCCATAATTCCTCCACCCAGGAGTGACGCATAGTTTAAGCATCTTTATCCAACATAGGCAGGGCTCTAGAATAACATTTTAATTTTTTGTCTAAATCAGCACACATTTCCATATTTTTCAAGATATTTGCAAGTAGATCATTAATTTTACAATATTAAAAATCAAATACATTTAAAGTCAACATTATTGAGCTTCATTTTGTATGTATCATTGTATTTGATTACATACATCACAAAACTTTTCTTATTGAGTTTTTACTCTTTTCTTTAAGCGTGTCAGATAGAAAAAGATGAAAGTCACTCTGGAACCCTGCCATGAGGAGACAAAACATGTCTTGTCCCAATAATCCTTACCAATAGTGGGATCTGGGTAGGGCAACTCATTATGGCAATTATAGTAAGCCTCTAAAGAGAACGGCTCCCTCCTGTAGAAGGTCAAAACCTTGGAAAAGGGTGCTGCATGGTTTTTGGGAAACACCTCACAATCACTATAACAAAAAATATGAGTGAATATTAAAACACTGTACATTTACAAAAAAATGACTGATCATTTACCTGATTCCCTCCTCCGCAGCTGAATGCCACTTGAGAGAGACTGGGTAGGGAACCACATCTGTGATTGAGAATTCACGAACTTTAAAAGCCGGAGACAGAATTGCACACTACAGAGAAAAACACACATTTTTTCAGACAAACAATTATTTCAGAAATGTTGGATGCTATATAAATCAAATACATTCAAAGTCCAGCTCTAAACACAATACCTGCAAAGCACATCCTCTGGCCACTGCTTCATCAGCATTTAGTGTAGTGCTCAGTTCCTTTCCGAAGAATTTGCTGATTCTTTCCTTAACAGAAGGGATCCTTGAAGCTCCACCCACTATTTCTACTGCATAGATGTCATCCCTCTTTAGCTCTTTGGTGGAAAAAAATAATTGCAATTTGTTAAAACACTGACAATTCCATACAAGTGTTTAAACATTACTCACTTGCTTGCTCTAATAAACTGTGGAGTGGAGGCTCTACTCTCGCAAGAATGTCAGCACACATCTCCTCAAAATGCCCTCTTTAGTACAAGAAATAAGGGATAGTTTAGAAAGGTGAGATTTTAAATAATCCATGTTGACTGTTCACCTGTTCATTTTTCCAGTTACATCAATATCATTCATGAAGCATTCAATGTTGAGGGGCAAGTCAGAAGAGTTGGCGCTCATCAACTTCTTGAGTTTTTCACATTCCTGGTAGAGCCTAACCAGAGCTCTAGGTTTGGACTTGACATCAAGTTTGTATTTCTTGCCAAATTCCTCACAGAAGAATTGGACAAGTACCTCATCAAAGTCTTTGCCTCCAAGTTCTGGGTCACATGCGGTAGCTAGAACCTAAACGAGAATCCACCAACAAAAGATAAATATCTGCAACTGAATAAGAAAACACTTCTGTTAATTTTCAACAACCAACCTTGAGTTTGCCCTTATTAAAGGAGCAAATAGAAGTTTGGTATCCTGAATGGCCTATGTCAACAAACACAACATTCCTCGGTTTCTCTTCTGGAGCAGGGAGATCTTGCTTATAGATGCCATACGCCAATGCAACTGTGATAAATAAATGCCAATTACTCATCTTTAAAAGGGTAACTGACAACTCAATCAAATAAATAGTTTGGAAGAGACCTGCAGTTGTCTCATTCATAAGTCGCAGGCAGTTCAGTCCAGCAATTTGAGCTGCATCTACAACTGATCTCCTCTCAGCATCGGTGTAATAGCAGGGAACCTAGTTAAAAAAAAAAAAAAAACAAAGGACATAAACACACTTAATACTATAGACCTCATTGCAAATTGATTATGCTCAAACTATTGATGCAAGTCATACTTACAGAAACAACACAGTCAGCCACAGGCTTTTTCAGAGCACTTTCAGCCGTCTCCTTCAGCTTGGTCAGTAGCATAGCTGTAACTTGCTCAATGCTGAAAATCTTTTCTTCCTCCATGTAGGTCACCTTCAGTGAATGAATATGAGTACATGCCATCTAGGCTGATGCAAAATTATTTTGCTTTCATGGATGAATATTACCTTGATACCAGTTGTTCCGGTGGGCATCTGTGTGATATCATACACAAGGCTGGATTTGAGGCGTTGCACAAAGGGATCTGAAAAGGCTCTGCCATGAAACCTCTTAAATCCCTGGACAGTGTTTTTGCAGTTTGTGACGACCTAAAACAACACAGACAATGTGTTGAGGTTTATGTCAAGGTATGTTCATAATACTATACTTATGTATTGATACATAATATTCAGTAATATTCACCTGACTTTTGGCAGCTGCTCCAATGGACCGGTTTCGTGGTCCAAAAGACACACATGCTCTGTAAGAACAAGCACTGATTAATAATGCAATTGTAAAAAAAATACAGGTTAAGAATTTTATTTTTAGAGCGTCCCTGCATCTATGTACCAGTTTTGACACACAAGATAATACTTCACAATGATGACATGTACACACCATTACATTGCACGAGTGTGTCGACAGTGCTTTGAAAAACATGTTTCATGTTTGGGTCCTCTATTGTCATAGTCTTTGACCAAGTCAATTTATCATCTAACATGACTTGACACTTCCAAGAAAATGAATGAAGTATTCCTCCTACAGTAACGCACTCATTTGAGAACATTAGTATACAAACGAGTTATCGTATACTAGCGTAAGATAAGTTACAATTTCTAAAATGCAAATACTAAATCAAGCTAAAAGAATGCGCTAACTTCCCTCGAAATGCGTTATTTCGCAATTTACACTCACTCCTTAGCTTGTAGCACTCTCATCACATGCCGCTTCCTGATACAATTCCGTTAGCATGCTAACTAGCGACATAGCATTAGGGTCCAAGGAATCTGCGCATTGTGCACAAAACGTCAGAAGGACGTAATTTGCAGCAACAGTAAACTTAGCTCAGGGTTAGGACTTCCGTACAGAGGTGTAGTTTGACTTACGGTGTACACCTGTCGCTGTACTCGTTGGCCACAGTCTCTATCCCTCCGGCTCGAGCTACTGCTACATAGCAGTTCATAAAGCCTACGTCAAAGCCCACCACAGACATGGCGACTCACTGAACAGTGCTATGAACACAAGGAAGATGAGGACTAATACTAAGTGCTAAACGTGGCGGAAACAAGAGCGTTTTCAGTCAGTCTGAGTCCAGGAGATCGGCCGTTGTTCCATGAAGCGGAGCCGCGGAAACATGAGGTGCACCGTGACTCCGGGTTCAGGATCTTGTGCTTCAGCGGCTGCGAGCGCCACCTGGCGGGCGGGGACCTGCCACTCCTGCGGTAATGTGTTCTGTCCATGGATCTCACAAAGGGTCGATAGAACACTGACATTTCACCTCCAATTAAGACACGGCTTATCATTGTATTGCATAGTTGTGTCATGAAAACTCCAAACGTCATCAACCAAGACCAACAAACATGACGGTATTAATGTAAAACGTTTTTACTACCTTGGCAGTGAGATATGAATTCCTTATGATTTATGAAGTATTTTAAGTACATTAAATTCGGACTTCTGTCAGTGAAATACAGGTCGACCAAAAAATATATAATAATCTTTATTATTGACATTGACACATATAGATTAGCTGGAGGATGGGGTTGATTTATTCATCTTTTTCGAAGTCGCTGGGATTCTTCCTCTTCCCCTGCTGGTGCACGTTATTGCCCCATGTGTAGCACGTATACATCAAGATCATTGCTGTAAAATAAAGACAGACATTTAGACTTGTGAACTCCAACGAGGGTCCAATTCTCCAACAAAACTTACGAGGGGCAACTTTGAAAAAGGAAGAAGTAACCCGTCTCCACACGTTGGGAATTCCTTTAGAAAAGTAGTTTGGGAAAGCCCTCTGCTCAAAGGGAGAGATTGAGTATGTGATCACATGTCTGATCTTTGCCAAGTCTCCAAAGTGGCGTCCCATTTTCTGAGGAGTAAAACAAAATGTTCCTTATGATGAATCTATAGTTGCAGAAATACTACTGTTCTCTGGTTAGCGTTAGATATAGGGACTGTTTACATCATCAACACATCGTGAAGCTGCTCACTGTTTATTAGCTTCGGACGAACAAACAGAACTGCGTTTTTGATTAACTATGAACAAGGAAGGCATCTACGGTGCAGATAGACACGGCACTCGTGTAAATAACATAATACACGCCTCATTAACTCGACAAGAAACAAATATATATATTCAAGAGTACACTAAAGATGTGACATTGAGCTTACCGTGCCGCAGCTAATGCTAGCGCCTGTGTCCTTGTCTTCACTGGATTTGAGGACGTACCGCCCCCGCGTGGTGGGGAAGACTGTGTTTAAAGACATTGTTTTATTTTTTAAAGCTACAGTACTCAATCTTTTTTGATTTATAAAGATGTTGTGAACACATCACAGCCGCCTTTATCTGATTAGAACACATGTTATTGATTATTTCGTTGGGACAGTGTGTAATTACTGAATGCATTGCTGTAAAAATGTTTACATATTGAGAGCTGATTGGCTGATGTGTGTGTAAATCATGGATCTAGGTGTAAATAGAATTACTCTTGAGAGCAGGAACCTAGTTAAATGGATTTTATTACATCATATTTTGTGTTTTCAAAGTTAAGTACTCCAACTTTAACATAAATATGTATATAAAAAATGTATACACAGGGAAAAAAACAAATGCAGTATTTGCTTGCTAATTTATTTTTTTTACTTTGTAGGCTGGATAGGCCTCCTTCAGTCTTTTTCCTGAGCACACAGTGAATTCATTAATTTTGCATAAATACAAGGCAGCATTTAGTTTCATTCTACTACAATGAATTTGAGTCAATTCATATGTACAGTCACGCAGTGACCAAAATAAATACACACAAAAACCTTGACAACTTTCATCCAGGAAATTATGAAAATAGTCCAGTAACCTGTAGCTATATGATCTCCATAAATAAAATGTTATGTATATTTAAGGTTCATAGGTTTAAGAGTGACTTTCATGTTTCCAGAACAGGGCAACTTAAAATTAGACTTATGAATTAAATTAGAGCCAACCCTCCCAAAATAAATTAACAAAAACAACGTAAAATAATCAAATTATACATCTCACCTTTACATCTAGTTCTGCAGGTTTTCCTGCACAAATGCAGTTCCAATCTGCTTTCTCATAACTCAAACAAAAGAAATAAGTCTCACATTGTTTTTCAGTTGGATAAAACACTCTTCATACAAGTTAGCGTAACTGTTCCAGATCCAACTTCATATGCTGAATACATTCACAGTTATGAAATCACTGGACTGTGTCAGATGATGTGTGGGTTTTGTTTCTATTGTAAAAGCCTAAGACCCTGTATAGTCGGGACTGTCAGCGACATGTGCAGCGGGTTGCAACCATATCCTCAAACTCTTTGTAGACATAGGAGCCATCCTCCTCAATCATCATCACACTGAGAGGGCTGTACTGTAATGGGACACAAGAAGGACGAGGCACTGAGGAGTCCATCTTCTCATAGATTATGTTTTGCACCATGGTATGAACAGTCGACCCATAGATAAACCCAACAGCCCTTGGGCAAATACCTCTGCAGTACCTGGGGTTATACTTTTGTGGAAAAACTATCCAGTGGTCAAGTTTGAGTTGACTAAATAGCACCCAGAAATCATACAGAGCACAATCACTTGTTTGAAATTTAGAGCTTGGGAGAAGATCTGGTAGCTGAGTTTTTAGACTCTTGTCGCGTTTGTTTTTCAAAGAGCTCCTCTTCCATCTCCTATGCATGTGCTTGGTTTTATAGATTACTTTGTGGAGTTCATCATGCTCAGCAGAACTCTTTTGCTCAGCTTTACTGCCAAACCTTTTTTGAACATGTTTACTGGTGTCACTCAAATACAGAAGCAGGGGAGGGGACAGCAGGGCTAACTCCAACATTGGGCTCTGGCGGTCATGATTCATCCCTTCTTCACAGGTAATATTGATAAACAGGTGCAAACTGTTCTTCTGAAAGGGCAGAAGAAATGCTGTGACATTGATCTCAACCCAGTTTTTGCCATTACCTCCTGTGGAGTTCCAAGAGTGAAGGGCACTGCGTATCGTACAGTGATCGGAGGCCTCCAATTCTTTGATATGAAGCATGCACACAGAGTCAACGAGAGAAGAGTGTCCAGAGTCTAGATTGAACAGCAGAGTTGCTTTTAGCAGCTGCTCTCTGCTCCTAACTTGATCAAGACGATAAGAAAGATCCTGCACAATACCTTTAAAATAGTGAACACAAAAATGTTAAAATGGAACAACAACAAAATCAATTGAGCAATAAATCGATGCATTGGGTTTGAGAATGATGAGCCATGAAGAAAGGAACTCAAAATACTGCATTTACAATAACTTGAGAAGGCAGGTACTTTGACATCACAACATGACAGACATGTACAAATCTATACTTTCTACCCCACTTGTACATACACTAAAGAGTGCAACATACATCTACTGTATGTCATTTTAATTTTGGATAACAACTTTTATAAGCGTGCCCAGATAATAAGTCTATGTGTACAAACCATATTTGGCCTTCTCTAAGGGAGAGTTATTCCATAGAGCCATGATTTTTTTCTCAATTAAAATACAATGGACGTGTTTTCAGTTTAAGTAAATCCAACCAGAGAGCAGAAATACGTTCTCATTTGGGTTGCCAGTTGCCAGCCAAATTATGATGGTTTTGGTCTATCTTTTAACCAAAAACAAAAATAAAAACAAACAAAAATGACGTAGTATGCAGTATCTTATCTAGCTAAGCCCAAGCCGGTGAATATCAGTAACCAGTGCTTAGGAGCCAGGGATGTGACATTGTAGTGACTTTATTAGACCACTTCGGGTGCATACACGTCCTACATCTGTGGATATGGTGCATGTGTGTGTGCATGACAACACTTCTCTCTCACCTTCATCATTTTGCACAAAGGACTCCTCCAGGGGTTTGATCAGCCGCACGGTGTTGTACGCGTCACTTCCCTTCACACTTCTTTGCACTCTGGAGGACTGTTTGTACACTTTTGTCAAATACTTGATGTATTTGTGCTCTGGTTTGATCCTCTTCCTCCACTCTGGGTTCCAGCTGGCGCCTTCGTACTGTGAGAGAGCTTTGATCAGTGGAGAAAAGATATTCCCGTGCGGATGCTGCGTCGCGTCGCTCAGGTTGTAGAAGGCCGCGCCGTGCGGGCTCGCTCCGGGACAGGTACAGGTGGTCAGCAGCAGAAACAACAGCCGGCCATAAGACAAACACCAGGGGTTGTCCATCCTAAATCCAAAACACTCATTCGTGCTCACACACCACTTTGCGACACATCCCAGCACGTGCTGCTGCGGGCGCAGGTGACGGCAATCAGGGCCATGACGTCACTGTGCGCTCCAGGTAAAGCCAGAGGAGAGGCCACTACCGCATCTCTAAGATACAAACCATGGATCTATTAATAATATTAATAATAAAGTCTGGAGACTCCACCCATATCTCCGCTACAAACACAAATGGAATTAAAACATCTTGAAAACAAAAAAAGATTAAAGCTGAGGTACCTAACTTTGAAACTACTTAAAGTGGTTCTCACTAGTGATGGGTCGTGCCGCGTCGGCGCTTCGGGGCGTGAGCCGAGAAATCCCTGAAGTTTTTATCGGAGCGCGGGCCGAAGCCTGAGTTGTTTTAGATGAGTGACGTCACTAATGACGTTTGAAGCCTCGGGAGCACAGTAAATGGAGCGATTCATGAAGTACTGCAGAAGATCCGCTCAAACTGTGTGTTTGTCTTGGTGATTAATGTAGTCAGTGATGGAGAGGGCGTGATATCAGCTGGTTGGCTCAATTGGTAGGGAAGCAGGGTTGGGACCTGGGAGACCGGGGTTCGAATCTCACCGGGAGTGCGTCGATTTAAATACACGTGAAAGAACTTTGTCAGAAATGTTTTGGTTTTAAACAACTGATGGGGTCACAATCCCAAATGATATCCCCATTTGTGTCACGTCCTTTGAAAAGCACTTACACTTTCAACATGTCTTTTGTCCCATTGGATTTATAACATTGATTTTGACTTGAAAAGCTATAATCATTCATCATTAAATATGTATATAAATATATATCTGTGTGTGTGTGTGTATGTGTGTGTGTGTGTGTGTGTGTTAGAGCAGACAACTGTACCAGTTACCAGTACATTATATTTTATTGTCATTTAAAATATATTCATTTTCACTACTGATATTGATCATAATGAAACAGATGAATTAATGGGTCATACACAATCAAATTAAATTTTTATTTCTGTTACCAGTATTAATTCCTATGCGCAAGAGCCTCACAAACAGTTCAATTGTCAATACAGATTTTGACCAACAGGAGGTTTGTGAGCATATGAAGCATCAAGAAATGAACCTTTTCTCGAACCAATGGATGAAAAGGTTCAACACTTCATGAAGCTTCATCAACCCATCACTAGTTCTCACCCCCGCTCCTCGGAGCTTACGTTACTCACATTTCCTGTTCAAATCTTCCTCTAAATGGGCGTAGCCTGGAGGACTAAAGGGGGCGTGAACGAGACTGGGCCGTTTACATTGCTCTGGGCGGGGGGCTGCTGACGTCAGGTCCAACTTGCAGACGTCAGGTCCAACTTCTGTGCCAGTGTTGGCGCCAGATTCAAAATGCAATTGTAGTAATACAGGTCGCCAGCAGATGGCGCCTCACAGACGGTTTTAGGCAGAAAACCAAAGTGACAAGCTTATGACCAGGATATGCAGACAACACTATTGGACACTCATTTATACCGTTTATCAGCAAAAAAAGTGGATTTGAGGGTGAGTTGTCCTTTAAATAGCTATGTAATATAATTCATAGAACTATTTTCTCACTCTCAAAACAGTTTGATTCTATCACTAGTTCTCAGATGGAGCTCCATTTGATCACATCTTTACATCCACTTTCTCAGACAGAAAACTATAAAAGAGAACCCTCAGACAGGCAATCCACTCTCGGTATGTAAAAGTCCCCCAAGAGTTTCTTTTTAGAAAGACAGCATTCTCTGTGAGGGCCACACTTGAAACACTGTAGCTTACATCAGGAACATTCCAATTCTGCGAACCTCCACTAAGTTTCTCAAACTGTGGCTCGTGAACAATCAAAGCTGCATTCATAGTGTGGACTAATAACCTCTGCATGTTTGTTAATGTTCTTGTTATTGTCTGTGTTGTCATGTTTGTACGTCTATATGCAAAGCTCTACATGTTATTATGTTGCTGCTTTTATGTCTGTATCTGGCTTCTAATAACTGATACTCTGTTTGTTTGTTTGTTGATGGTTGTAACATCAACCTGCCACAGGACCACAGATGGAAACTAGCACTTGTGGCTAATTCTGGCATATTCCATGGACAAATGTTGATTCATGTGCACATTCAAATCTAGCATGTTGTAGTTTAAATTGCTCTCATTTTACCCCTTTCTGTCTGGACAAATAAAAATATTTGTCCGCAGACAGATGCTCATCATAACATTCTTGTCCTGTACGGTGTTTTTCATACAGGGTTAAAGCGAATTAGCCATATTAATAAAAGCAATATCAAAGCAAAACAATATTCAAGACTGAGACACTCAAAGATGGTATAAGCTAAAAGATTTTATTTCCACATGGCGCTGGGCCTTCATCAGGACAGTAAAAAGTATTACAGTGTTATTAGACATTATTAGCCCATAGACATTTTATAAATTTACATATGCAGAAGTTAACATTTACAAAATATTATTTTACACATCATTATATTATTACACATTTATTACATTATTATAACCCTTAAAAATGACATACATTCACCAGTCCTGGGCATACTTTTTAGACCCTCTATTTTTTTTCCCTTTGTGCTGATGAAAGCGTTTACTAATAGTGTTTATGTTTCGGCATGGTTTTCCTTGTTCTTGGTCATCCTTTTCTCCATATTTGCTCTGAGCTCCCAGAAGGGCCTTGACCTCTGCCACCACATTATTGCCTAGATAGTGTGATGCCTTTTTCCCACCATTGTCTCGAACATTTACATTGGCCCCGTATCCCTGCACCAGCAGAAACAAGACTTTAGTGTGTCCGTGGATCGCAGCAATATGCAATGGTGTGTACCCTCCGTGTGCTTTAACGTTTATATTGACAAAAGCACATCTTTTTTTGGCAATATCCATCATGTTCCTCATTATTTCACAGTTCCCCTCCTTTGCAGCCCAGTGCAGAACTGTGAAGCCTGACATAAAATCTTTTCTTTTTATCAAGTGAATGTCCTTAAGTAACAAGGCATGAACTTGCCCCCACAGTCCAGCAGCACACTTGACCAGCCACTCATGAGTTAAAGGGTCCAAAGGCACGGATTCAGAGTACTTTGTCTCTTCTCCTTGTTTTGAATTCTTGCTTGGAGCAGGGGGCCTCACTGGGGGCACTGGGGCTTGTACTAAATCATCAGCCTGTCTGTTGGCCCATCCATGCATACCTTCACTACGTTTATGGTCTGGAAGATAAGCACTGGGGTTCGTTGTAGAGGTCGTGGTAAGCACCATAGGCTCGTCTGTTGTTTTGTGATGCAGCTCATCCTTGCAGGCTGCAATGGTCCTCGGTGGAGATTTAACAGCGACCACAGCAAACACGGCTCCGGCTTTGCCTCCCCGGATCGCCTGATGCTGGGGGATGTTTAGGACGCGAACCGTAGTCGCATCCACGCAGTCCGATAAGGTTTCACTCTGCGCATTGTCCTCTGGAGCCTTGTGAACATAACTCCCATTCAAGTTCAAGACACACGACCTGTTATTGTTCTCGATGTCCGCGTACATGGCGTTTAGAGAGTGGGAGCGACGTGGAGACGCGCATGTAAAGCTGCTATTTTCACCCGTGAAACTATCGTCTATCTGTGCGTCTCTTACGAAGTCAAGGTACCGTTTCTTCACAACCACAAACTTACTCTCGTCCATCGTTTTGACCACAGCTACGCTGTTCACCAACTTTTTGAATAGATCCCTATTGTGCTGTTTTTCCGCGGGATCATTGCTGTTGATTCCGCTTCTGAAATGGTTCAAAAAGTCACAGTTCTTCACTTTACCCCCGTGCTCGAGTAAAAAGGATAAGATGGACTCTTGGGTCAGAGCCATGACGGATGTAGTTGTGTCAATTAAAGTAAAGAAAGGGATGCACTCAAGATAGCCGCCTCGCTGTATCACAGAGCGCCTCCAGACTATGCTCCAGACTATGGTCCACTCATGGGTCCGCTCTGCTCTTAACCTGTCGCTTCCGGTGTAGTGACGAGTTCTGCATCCCTACGTTTTAGGTACTGACGAGATCTGCATCCATACGATTTAGATATGAACCATAATGTTGAATGCATACAAACACTCTTTCTGAATGAGTTTTTAAGTCTACAGCTCAAAGGCAACAATATCACTTTAGTTAAAAAAAGAACACATGCAAGGGGCTTTTTGTTTTAATGCAAAGGGACTGTTTTATTGTTAATTTTCTGGTATATTTTCAACTCAACTGTGCCCACGCATACACATTTCTATATTATCCCCATAAATCCTCACTCAGATGCAGACAGTTTTTCATTGTCATCACTGTAACAGATGCTTGCACCGTCCAGCTCAGCAGCGCCATCCTCCTGCATCTGTGGGTATTGTCTCAAGTGGCCATATTGAGGAGAGTGCTGCCGTGAGCCTGTGATGTGGAGCAGGTCTGGAGGAAGACGCTTGAAACGCTGCCGCTTTGACGATGGCGGCCACTGAACTAGACCTGTTCTCTGTAAGTCTGAAGTGTCACCCTCCTCTGTGTGTCTGTGTGCGTCATGATAGATGTGCATCGTTTTGCGATTGCTGCAACGTCGCTGCACAATAATGTGGACGCTTGCTAAATACTGAACGGGATTAGGACTTTGGTCATGAGGCAAATTCCTAGTTTTGCGTCTAAGATTTATGAAATATCTGCAACTTATGACTGATGACTCATCTATCACTGGCAGATACGCAAGCTGCGCATTTGGCGCTTGGCATTCGACAGTGCCATAATGCAAAATAAACATGGCATCAGCGAGCAAGATATAAGAGGATCAGTGTGAGAGCAGCTTTCGTGAGATACAGCCACAACCCACAACATGAACAACCGAGCAAAGAAATTAGGGCTTTTGTTTGGATTGATACATGTGTAGGAAGACAAGTGCATATTGAGATAAGTATAGATAATAGTAATCCTTCATTGAGTGAGGATTGTGGTTAAGTGGGGGTGTCTGGGCATCTGAAGAGGGCTGTGTGGGTACTGCACAGCGAGCTTGGGCATCCTCCCCCTGTGAACTAACACTGGCATAAAGAGCTCTTTGTAAATGTGTGTGAAAAGGGACAGACAGAAACGGATGATTGTTGTATTGAACACATCCTTCTGCTCATGTTGAGTTTAGCAGGATGCCAAGGCGCCCAGAGTCAATGTACAAGGGCTTATTCTGTATGATTATGTACGTTTCACTTTTTTGAAAGTTGTGCCACTGTGCTGCAGTAAACATCCCAGCAAGTAGTTTGGAACATTACTGTATATGTTTATGTGATGAACCTGAGCAAACATATACTGTATTTTTACCCCACTTTTCAGAGAAACCTTTATTGATTTTTTTTCTTATTGATTTTTTAAAGAATGAGGACAAACGAAACTTGCAGCTTGGAGGCCATGTGGGGTTTGACAGTCTTCCTGATCAGCTGGTCAGCAAATCAGTTGCCCAAGGCTTCTGTTTTAACATTCTCTGTGTAGGTACGTCTGAAACTAAGGGCATGTACTGGTCATATAATGTTTCTGAGTATAGCTAAGTGCAATACTAATTGATAATCATATTTTGTGTGTTCAAAATATATCCAAACATACAATCTACAGGTGAAACGGGAATCGGAAAATCAACTCTTATAAATACTTTGTTCAATACAACTTTTGAAAATGAAGAAGCCAGCCATTATGAGAATGAGGTGCAGCTACGTCCACAAACATTTGAGCTGCAGGAGAGCAACGTCAGCCTGAAGCTCACGATTGTGCACACGGTTGGGTTTGGTGACCAGATCAACAAAGAAGAATGGTGAGAAGAGTTGTACCTTGGAAATCACTGTGACAATATCCAGCTTCAATCTAGAGAAAGTAAAAAAATAGAACAACATCAGGCAAAAAGGGCAGATTTGATTTTGGGTGACTGGACAGAAAAGGCCTTCTAGGGACGGACATTGCAAACCATCCTTGGCTGTGAATATTTTCATTTTTATTTGTCTTTTTATGGTGTAATGTATAATAAAAACATTCGCATAAAGAAGAAAAGTCATCAAGCCATTGCTCAACAAAGTGATTATGCAAATAGTGGTAATTATAGGAATAAAATGATATAACTTTGTAGGAGAGGTGTCTGCATAATTAAGTTCTCCCACCACTTTACCTATAATATTGTACATTTCTCTGTTGTGAGATCAATAAAGTTCATTTTTATCTTACTTATTAATATCAAAATGGTAAATAATTGTAATTTTTACTTCAAATTGAGCCACTTAGCTGAGCCACAATGTCAATTAGCACATATATACATACACACAACTTTTTTTGTATCGCACAATGTGTTTTTTAAATCTTATTAGAAAACATCTGTTGCAGACCGAGAGCTGAGCTAAAGATAAGATATAGGATAAAATACATGCATGTAAACACTTTAGATAGAACCAAACTGTTTCAAACTCAAGAAATAGTTACATTTTATTACATAGTAGTTTATGTGGTTTCAAAGTTAGTTAATTAATAAAATATATACAATCTGAGTTTGAAATGGTCAGTAATACAATTCTACCTTTACTCCAAGTTGTTTTTGTTATTAACTTTTCTTATTCTTCTTTTCTCACAGCTACAAACCCATTATAGAATACATTGACGCTCAGTTTGCAAACTATCTTGAGGAGGAGCTGAAAATCAAACGGTCCTTGTTCAGTTACCATGACACAAGAATCCACATCTGCCTGTATTTCATTGCGCCCACCGGACACTCCCTGAAGTCACTGGATCTGGTCACAATGAAGAAACTGGACAGCAAGGTAACACAACTAAGATGTCAAATGCTTTTGCTTCCAAGATGAACAGTTTTTCTTAACATTTTAATTTCAGGTGAACATCATTCCAGTCATAGCAAAAGCCGATACCGTTTCAAGAAGTGAATTGGACAAGTTAAAAATCAAGATAATGAGTGAGCTGGTCAGTAACGGCGTGCAAATCTACAACTTTCCAACAGAAGACGAGGCAGTCGCAGAGATCAACGCCTCAATGAATGTGGGTTATAGCGGTTGTATCATGTGTGACGTGTGAAATATATGATTTAATATACGACTTTTGCGCCGCAGACATATCTCCCTTTTGCAGTCATAGGAAGTATGGAAGATGTTAAAGTGGGGAACAAGATGGTGAAAGCGAGATTATACCCCTGGGGATCTGTTCAAGGTTAGAACAAATATCACCTTAATCGCCATCAGTTTGACATTGTTTACCAAACTTCCTTTCAGTGGAAAATGAAAACCATTGTGATTTTGTGAAGCTGAGGGAGATGCTATTGCGAGTAAATATGGAAGATCTCCGAGAGCAAACGCACGCCCGTCACTACGAGCTGTACCGGCGCTGCAAGCTGGAGGAGATGGGCTTCAAAGATGCAGACCCAAACAGCAAGTCCTTCAGGTTAGATGTGGTACAAAGAATGACATCAACAATAGTTTAGGACTGCTCAGACCACAACATGCTAAGAGAATATTAGGTTGCGTTTTTCCATTACGATGTAGTATCTGGTAATGTATTCTAGTAATCTACCAACAACAAACCAGTATCCGGGGAATTTCCCTGGTAACCATGGCTTCCAGCAGTACTACGCTTTGAGCAGGTAGTATAAAAGTCCCTGGTACCGCTTAAACATGGCCCGTGGACGTATACATGTGTACCTACGTATATGTATGCAAATACATTCGGGTGCCCTCTTTATTTTATTTTATTTTTTATTTATTTTTATTCTTACTCTTTCATTTATTTTTTGTAATTATTTATATTTTATTTTATTTTTTTATTTTATTTTATATTTTTCTTTTTCTTTATTTGTATTTATTTTTCCCATTTTATGAACATATCTACTTATTTACCCTTTATACGTAGCTAAACATAATTCTATGAGATAATTTTTTTTAATAAAAAAATAAAAAAAACACACACAGACTGTACTTGCTGTCAACAACTGTAAATGCATCTAATCTTGTGTGTAATAAACAATCTAAAAAAAAAAAAAACATGGCCCGTGGAAAAGCTCTCAATCTGGTAGAGTTGGGCCAAGTAGGACTGCTGGAAATGGGACTTAAGTTTAGTTTTGTCGTTCAGTTTATTCACATAACTAAACAATATACAGAAACATTTGAACACAGTTTTCATTACTACTACCTGTCACTACAACCACCAACACCACTATAACTACTACAACTACTACACTGTAAGATAAAAGTTGTTAATTCTGAAATTTATGTTTTGTCACCTCTCCCTCCATTATTTATTATTATTATTATTATATCATATTTGTTTCCAATTATAGTAGCGATTAAATATTTTGCCTTTCATCTAATTATAGCCTCCAGGAGACGTATGAAACCAAGAGGAAGGAGTTTCTGCTGGAGCTTCAGCGCAAAGAAGAAGAAATGAGGCAGATGTTTGTAAACAAAGTCAAAGAAACGGAGGCCGAGCTGAAAGAAAAAGAAAAAGAGGTATTGTTTGACGGGAATTAATAAATCTTCAATATAGGGATGTTAATCGGTGACCGTTTAACCGGTGGTTGGCCGTCACAGCGTTAACGGGTCAAAGCTGTTGGTTAAAAAAAAGAAAAGGGGAGAGGGGAGGTCTCTTCATAACGCTATTTTAAGCCCTATTTGCACGGTGTGACGAGCGGGTCTGTCTCTAGCTGTGTGCGCTAATGTATCAGTAAACTCCGGGCCGACTCTCATGCCGCACGTGCCACATGCACGCACGCGCGCACACACACACACACACTTTCCCCCCCTCCATTGATACGTAACATCCACACGCATCATCTCTCCCCTCTGTCCGCCAAAGTTGCACACTAGCGCGGGATAAGGTTAGAACTACATTGGAGCTTACATTTACACACACATACATACATATACACACACACATACCGGTCTGTCGCACTCCTCTGTGTCACGCAGCCCAAAGTATCCAAATACGCGGCTCCAGTCAAATCACATGGGAACATGTTTGTCCTGCTGGTCCTTGGCATTAGATCAGCTCCACACACATCACTTATATTTAAACTTTAGCGGAGATCTGTGAGACGCGGCTCGTCACTCGCTGCTCTGACCATGTGGACGAGCCGTTGTTTGCTGCTAAAAAGTGTTAACGCGCAGCACAGAAGTATGGAAAGATTAAAAAAGCAGTTCTCTGTGCGCAAAGGTGCCAAAGCTGTTGTGGGTTTTGGCGCCGCTGTCTCGGCTCTGATCCAGTAGAACGCATAGCTGCACTTACAGTATGAGAAGTACGCGGCTCGAAATGGCTGTTATTTCAAAGAACGTGGACTATTTTTAACTACGCGGTTAACCGGTTTCAACCGGTTAATGAGGCTCTGTGGTCGGTCATGAAAATTCATAGTTTTTTACATCCCTACTTCAATAATCTAACAGGGGTCTGACGTTGACTCCTTTATGACCTGCAGCTTCATGACAAATTTGAGCAGCTAAAGCGCATGCACCAAGAGGAAAAGAGAAACCTGGAGGAGAAACGGCGTGAGTTAGAGGAGGAGATGAATGCCTTTAACAGAAGGAAGGTGGCAGCGGAGACTCTGATGGGCCAAGGGCTTCAAGGCGGCTCCCAGCCTTTCAAAAAGGACAAGGACAAGAAGAAGTAAGTCTTAGAGAAGAGTAATGCATAAAAACCATGCAGCTTCAACATCCCACCCCCATAGTCTGCTCTGGTTCCACAAGTAAAACAAATACATGCATTTCACACAAATAGTCAGTTAACTAGATCTGTGGTAACTACTACCCATAGTCAGTTTTTAGATAAAACAAGAATTTGTTCTTGTGGAATTTAATTACCACATCTTTGAAGAGCCTTGAACAGCTTTCTAACTTTTATATAGATTTGTGCGTTTACAGCTGCGGCCTCCAACCTTCACCCAGAGATCTACTTTCTTGGGACAAAAATGGCAAAAGCTACTCTTTTTAAAGTGAATGTCGGTAACGTTAAAAAGAGTCAAGTCAAGCTCTGGTTAGACCCACCCATGCTCACCCAAGAAAGTTAAGCCCTTTGCGACTCTAGTCTGTGAAAGACTTACTTATTTTGTGCCCCCCTTGTGCTCCCTGATTGGTTAACTTAAAATTAATTCAAATTCTAACTGAAATCTAACTTCTACATTGAAGAAAGTAATGTATATGTATATACTTCAGAATGACCAATCACTGCTGTGGCATTGATCCAAAATAAATACATTTGGTAAAAAAAACAAGTGACCTAAAATACTGTATGTAGGATTGTCTTTACTTTTGGAACAGTGAGGTGTGCAGTTCCATTATTCATCTCACTCGTCACATCTCACACAAAAACCAAACCCTTTATGGCAGGGGTTTCAAACATGTGACCCACCGGTCAATTTCAGCTTGCAAGTGGCAACAATTGTTAAGCCCTTTGCGACTCTAGTCTGTGAAAGACTTACTTATTTTGTGCCCCCCTTGCCCCTCTTTCATTTCTGCACTGGACAGAGAAGAGTCTAAGCATCATGGATAAACAATCCGCTTTAGAGCCCAAACAGAAAGAATCCAATGTGTAAAATATGAAAACAATCAGAGGCAATGTACAAGTTTTACAGACTACAATGATGATATGCATGTGTAGTTATGAAGCTGTTAGCTGCTCTGAGCCAGGTCTGAACCAGGACTAAACCAACAGGACTTGGCGTTAGAGCGATCAAATAACCCAGAATCCTGCTAAAAAAAGCTATAACACATCTGCATCGTAATATTTCATTAGATAAAGTTAAATTAGTGAATAATGCAACTGAGCCTTGTATTATCAATCAATCAATCAATCAATTAAAATCCTAAACTTAAATGGTCAAATAAACTGCTATTTTGGTGGGGGTATGAAGCCATATTTTGAACATAATATTTTGATATTATTGTAAATAGTAAGATCCACTAAACAGGCTATATTTAGCTTTTGTTGCTTGAAGATTATATTTGAGGAACACTTGAGCCTCCCTCTGACTACCTCTAGCGGGCCCCTGCTAATGTGAGATCCCTGGTTTATAGCCTGTGGCCTTGAGTGGACAAGTCACTTTAATATAGAGATTAATTTGAGCTTATGAAAAATAAAGGAATATAACTCGAAGTGCAATGTTTTTCTCATGCTGTGACATGTTACATAGGCTTTCTAGATCATAGTACAGAAAAGATATGAGAAAAACATTAGCATTTACTGTATTTATAATAGGTGTATAAAAACTAACAATGCTTCTTGTCAGAGTTTTGACATCATGTACATTGACCTCATATTTATGTCATTGTTTCTCACTTTGAAAATACATCTGCATTTGAAACATGTTTGTGCCAAATTGTTTTATGTCTTTTCAGTTGATTTTTGGATGAAACATTGAAGGAAACCAGGACTGTGTGTGTCTTCAGCACATTGTACTTGTGGCCTCAGTGACTGACTAAGCACATCAGCCTGAACACTGTGATAAGCCACTGTGTCTATGGATCCAAACACAACACTGTCCTGCTTAATATCACTGCTGACTCTGCTAGACACTATAAATAACAACTCTTTCCATCTTTTACTAACATACATATTTCAGTCATGTCTTTGTCAACGATAATCTGAATTAAACACCAGTGCCATTCGCAAAAACTGACTTCAGTAAAATTGTTAAGATAAGACAAACACTGAAACTTTGTGGTGGTAGTACTCACCTGTATGAGTCCATGGAAATAAAAAGTTATACTATTCATGAAGTTAGAGCGGACTTGCTCATATTGTGGAGAATTAAATTAAAGACAAACTAACAATATTCACTTGAAGAGAATGAGGAGGATTTTTTACCGGCAGTGATTATTATTGAGGCTTTGCATGTTATAACACACCAATGTATTCTGACCTCAGTTTGGCGTTCTTTTATTTGCTTCTTTCCATCCTGTCTGTCTGTGTTCTACAGCTTCATTCCGTAACATTTATCATTGCCACCAAACGCTGATGTGGTAACAAGCATAAACATTGATTAATGGATTGTGCACTTTCCCCTTTTTCTTTAGCTTTTTTAGTCTACCTTCAGCGTGCTCCTTAACCTCAGGAAGGAATCTGAATTAGAAGACACTCTGCTCCTTCAGAAAGTGGTTTTAACAATCAAATTCAAATGTATAACTTTGATAATATCACCACGCTGTCATTTGAATACAGTTACATGTATGAGCAGTGCTCTGTAGCATGTTTGTGCATGTCTTATCATCCCAATTTGCCAAATGTCATTTACAATGTCTTTATATTGTTTTTGACTAACACTGTGAAACTCAAAGACATGTTGCTTCAGAGGAATTGTATTATGTTGTTTGTAGTATGCACTTTAAAACGTTGTTAATAGCTAGATCTTATATTTCAAATTTATTTAACGTATTTAATATATAACTATTCCCATTTAATAAGTCTATGTTTAACAGTGAAAGTCTATGGGGTTGTGTCATTTCTAGATTTGTAAAATCCATTGGGAGGCAAATAAAATAATATATGTCAATACATGCTTCCTGCTTTTTTTATTATTATATTTAACAGGTGGCCTCCAGACTGTTCTGGAAAGTCTCCAGAGGTCGAGGACAAAGGGTAGTAGAGATGTTAATGGAATTAGAACATTACATGGATTTAAAAACTACACATTACCCAAACTTGGCAAAACTACTGTTTTGAGTTTGAATTCACTTATTTGTATTTGAACGAATAATAAAAATACAATACACACATTCGGTGTCCCTCCTTCTCAAATATAATTGGTTGCCCTACTTTCTAGAGGCGGAGCATAGTTTTGATAGATATGTAGACATCCAATTAGATAAAAGTATTGTTGAGGCATGGGGCCAGTGACCAATCAGCGTGCTCCGTGTTGGGACGTGGGTATGGTTTAATGAGGGCATTAAAAGCCTTCGGTCCTTTTCCCCGTCGCCTTACGCCGAGGGTAGGGGGGTGTGCATAGACTGAAATTAACTTAGCTTAAAACTTTCTTAAGTGAAAGTCCATCCTTGCATTCATCTTCACTCGCTTGTTTAAAGCGTATGAAGTTTTTGTTTTGTTTTCCAAGTAACTCACACAACTAGCCAAGGTAAGCCGCGTATCTTTCAATTATTATTACTTTTTAGAAGAAGTAACATTTGTAGGCAGATTATGTAACTTTGATTGTTCGGATTGTTACAGACAATGTTGTGGTTAAAAGGCAGACTAGACACATCTGTCTGGTTGAGCTAGCATGATGCTATAAGGGTCGAGGTTTTTGAAAATAACCCAGATCTAGCTAATGTTTTTGTGTTTATCTTTCCGGATTTTGACCCTGTACACACATTGTAAGGTCCTGGTATATACCGGTATTTGATAGATAAGAGAGATAAGAGATATGTCACTTGTGTTTCTTGTGTGTTTGCGACCGGGACATGTCCAGACATAACGCTGGCTCTGCCCACTCCTCCCCAGGCCCTCACTGAGCTTTAGCTGAAGCTCCTGTATTCATTTTCTTTACATGACTTTTCTTTGGAATCAATTTATTTTACATAGGAGTATGTCAATATATTAGAACTGATTTTGAACGGTGTCTCAGTTCAGTTCAGTCCAGTCTGGGGACAGCTGGTGAAGGGCCTTATTTGGAAGTGTCACCGCTTCACGTACTCGTTTAAAGCGTTACTTGTGACGTCAATAGTTTATTGTAAATTCAAACACCATGCCTTTTTATAATCTACTCAATCAGCACAATTACATTGAAATGAATAGCCAATAGCAATGTGTTGTAGTGTTTGCCTTCAGAGCAGATGGTTTTACGTGTTTCACTTATATATTCTGTTTGTCTCCTGTCCCGATATGAAGATGATTGACACAGCAACAGCTGCCCCAGGAGCATTGCCTTTTGCAGTGCAGCTTAAGGCTTTGATGGAACAGGAGAGTCGATACCAGCCAAAGCTAGGAGGTCTAAGACATTTGGAATGTGCAAATGACAATGGCCTCCGCATGACCACCAAACTGCGAGAGCTGGAGGTGAAGGACCTGCTGTCTCTGACCAGGTTCTTTGGATTCAGCTCTGAGACGTTCTCTCTGGCCATCAGCATCCTGGATCGCTTTTTGTCTGTCATGAAGGTCTGTACCAAACATGAGTGGAATGTAAAAATGTCTCTGACATTGATGTTATCATTTTATTTATGAATAGATTCAGCCCAAACACCTGTCCTGCGTGGGCTTATGCTGCTTCTTCATTGCCGTGAAGTCTTCTGAAGAGGAGAAGAATGTGCCTCTTGCCAATAACCTGATCCGCATCACTCAGAACCGCTTCACGGTGTCAGACATGATGAGGATGGAGACCATCATCATGGAGAAACTCCACTGGAAAGTGAAAGCCCCCACAGCACTGCGCTTTCTCCGCCTTTTCCACAGCCACATCCAGGAGCAGCTTGACCATGAGAGGTGAGGATGGTCACAAGCAACATGGCATCATGACAAACTGGCACTAAGCATTCATGGTTGCACACAAGATCTATATGAACCCATAATGTTATGTTTTTTGTATTCTTACTAGCAAGGAGATTCTCAGCATCGAACGATTGGAAGCTCAACTGAAGGCTTGTCACTGCTCATTTATTTTTACAAAAATGAAGGTGAGTAAAACAGTTTACGCTGCTTAAGTATGGGGAACAAGGGAATGTTTTTATAAATTCAGTTCTGAATGGATTTTTGTTGACCGTTACAGCCATCATTGTTGGCTCTTGCTTTACTGAACTTTGAACTTCACGAGCAGCATGATCCTGAGCACAGTGATCAAATATCCAAGATCCTCTGTGCTGTTCAGATGCAGCTTAATGTAAGTAATCTAGGCAATAGGATTGGAAGTAGAATTAAAACGTTTGCATAACTTTCTTTGTGCTTGTGGTAGATTAAGGATGGTGATCTGGTGTGTGTGCGAGAGCTGGTCGGGAAGTGCCTGGCAGAATATTCCAAGTCCAAGTTCCCCAAGCCAAACCGCAGAAGACTTCGTTGGACCATTTCAGGAAGAACTGCACGCCAGCTTAAGCATAGCTACTACAAAATCACTCATCTACCCACAATCCTAGAGTCCGCCAATTGAAGTCTCATCTGCGATTGGGTGACCTGGTTAAATAATTCTTTTTAAAATTCTTTTATTTTTAACACAAGTGTCAGTAGATTTACCATTAATAAACTCTTAGGTCACCCACCTACTGTAACTTTCTTTACAGATAGCCATTATAGATGATGGTTAACTTTAAAGAGAATGCCCATTGACAAGGAGTGATGCTTTGTCTGCCACTGGCTTTGTTTTACTGTTGTGGTCGAGTTACTTACACAGTATGTTCTTGTTAAATCCATACCATGATGTTTGGTATTTGGGTTGCTAGTTTTAAGCAAATAAGTATAGAACCACCTAGGTCCTCAGTCCACTGTGTGGAAGAGGAGGGAGAAGGATTTTGCGAACATCAAAAAATGGAACCAAGAAATCGGGCCCAAAGTCCTTAACTCTCACCCTAGGTTGCTAAACTGTCGTGGATGCACACTCCTACCCAAGGTGAGAATTTTAGTTTAGTTATGGCGAGGGAGCTCTGGTTTTCTCCAGTGAATAAGACTAGTTTATGATTTGTCATTTCTAGCATATCCTATTGAAGCAGAGTGCTTAAAGTGGTTACCGATGAGTTGTTTTCACAGAATTTCGATTTAACACATGTAAAGCATTGTCTTTGCTAAATTTTGTTTTCAGTTAGGACTAGAACAAAAAGTGGTGATTAGCTTGCAATATGTGTCTTTTAATGAAGTGTTCTCATTTCAAAAACAAATACATCTGGTAAACCTTGTACCTTTCAATAAACTTATTGAAATGCCAACATTCGTTAATTCATCCTTTCTTCTAGACTTAACTGCTGAAGTTTACAGAAAGATGTTGCTTGTCACAATGTCCAAAAACACAGTTCATAATTTGTTAAATGTCCATCTTAAGATGTTACTTCTGCAAACTGGAAAAGTCTGGGCCACCTCCTGCAAAATTACCAGAGATTTCTGCACCGCTGAAGTCAAAACCAGGATTCTGTAGGAGAAAGGACATGAAGAAAAAATCCATTGATTTTTACGTTATTAAATACTAAGGTAAAATTGTCAGTCTACTTGCTTTGGAAAACCTCACTCTACAAATGCATTTAATCAACTTTTAATTTTACCAATGTCTTGCTACAATTGGAACAGCCAGTAAACATAAGCCATGTTTAGTCATAGATCTGACCACCATCCATCCGTTGCAGCAGTCTAATGGTGCTTTCACACCGGATCATGTGTTGCGTCGACTTTCAACGCAAAGAAAATCGCATGCAGGAGAAATCTTGCTGAGCTTTTCCTCTGGACGCTCGTGCAGAGGATGTGAACATACTGTCAACAGCCAAACCAGGGTTGACAATGGGGTACATAGTGCTTGTGAACATATGCGTTTTCATGCTCCCGTGACTTGAGCGTGTTTTCCGATGCGGACGTACCGTTTAATAAAATAAACGTGTGGCGTACCTCTGAACACGTACTGCTGTTATATAAAGTCTCTGGACACAGAGACGCTACAGAGCTGCATTATTGGAGAAGAACTTTATACAAAAAGCAGCTAGCTTAACTCCACTTCCGGCGGGCACCAGGACTTTTGGTGTGAAGATCCCTGCGGCTGAAAATTGGAGAATGTGAGTCTGCTGCGCGAGGCGTCAGCGGTGTAAAAGCACCATAAGCAGACACCCAGACCTATCCACACACTTCCTCCAGCTCCTTCAGGGGGACCCAAGGGCGTTCCCAGGCCAGCTGAGAGACATAGTCCCTCCAGCTTGTCCTGGATCTTCCCCGGGAAGACGTGTCCAGAAAACCTCCCCAGGGAGGGGTCCAGGAAGCATCCGGAACAGATGCCCAAGAAACCTCAACTGGTTCCTTTCGCCGTGGAGAAGAAGCGGCTCTCCTCCAAACTCCTCACCCTATCTCTAAGGGAGCACCCAGCCACTCTGCGGAGGAAGCTCATATTGACTGCTTGTATCTGCGATCTCGTTCTCCGTCCTTCCCTCACTCATGAATGAGACCCCGAGATACTTGAACTCCTTCACTTGAGGAAGGACCTCTCCAGGCACCTTTTTCCAGTCGAGCACCATGGCCTTGAATTTGGAGGTGCTGATTCTAATCCCAGGCGCTTCACACTCTGCTGCAAACCGTCCCAGTGCATGTTCATTGGAATCAAAAGGACAACATTGTCCGCAAACGGCAGAGATGAAATCCTCCTCCAAACCGGACCCCCTCTGGCCCCTGGCTGCGCCTTGAAATTCTGTCCATAAAAAAAGTGAACAGAACTGGTGACAGAGGACAGCCTTGGCGGAGGCCAACATGCACCGGGAACAGGTCTGACTTACTGCCGGGGATGCGAACGCAGCTCTGGTTCATAAAGGGACAGTACGGCCCTCAGCAGAGGACCCCATACTCCCGGAGAACCCCCCAAATACAACCCGGGGAACACGGTCGAACGCCTTTTCCAAATCCACATGTGGACAGGTTGGGCGAACTTCCATGAACCCACGAGTATCCAATGGAGAGTATAGAGCTGGTCCAGTGTTCCACGACCGGGACGAAAACCGCCCTGCTCCTCCTGATTACGAGATTCGGTCGTAGTCACCTTTCCAGTACCAGTTGGAGTAGACCTTACCGGGGAGGCTGAGGAGTGTGATCTCACAATAATTGGAACACACCCCCCGGTCCCCCTTCTTGTAGAGAGGGACCACCACCCTGATCTGCAACTCCAATGGTACCTTCCCCAGGCGCCACGCGATGTTGCAGAAAGATGGAATTATCTGCCCCAACATCCTCAGCCTCTGCCACCGGAACGGAGGACGTGACATTGGAATTGAGAACCTCAAAGTATTCCTTCCAACAATATCCCCAGCCAAGGTCAGCAGCCCTCTTCCCGCACCCTGTACAGGGTGTTGGCAAAGCACTGCTTCTGCCTCCTGAGGTGCTGGGGAGTTTGACAGAATCTCTTCGAGGCCAACTGATAGTCATGCTCCATGAACTTCTCCCAGCCCCAGGTTTTTGCCTATCAAACTTACTTCCCGCTGGAACCGCTCCAGAGTGAGTTTTCTCTGCATCTGGTCCTGGACCCATGCGTTGGCACAATATTCCCCTTCCAACAGAGACGACCAGCAGTTACCCGCCTCTCTGTTTGTCTTCATTAGGACGATATGGATGAGACATTTATCCTCTTGAAAAAGACAGCACACCATAAAAGAAAGGCCTCAAATCACAATAACAAAAGAACTCACCTAAAGTCCATGTTGCTTCATCAGAGACAGTCGACCCAAACAGTTTTCCCTGAATACATACAGAAGAAAATGAGTAAATCGGATACATTCTACAAAGTTCATTCCAAAGTTCTTGGGGTTAGACTGCTTTGGAGCTCATCAGTACAGTGGCCGCTACAATGAACAATCTAACTTGTCTTATAGGAAGTGCACTAGTGGACGTGTGTATAGATCATCAATTTAATTGTATCAGATTCAACCAATTTTTTTTTTTTTTTTTAAACAACAGCATTCTGGCGCAGCTGAATGAAAAAGTTAACTAACACATCTGGAACCCTATTGCATTGTATCAGTAAAACCATGATGTTTTTCTAATGGATTTCAAGAAGAAAGGGGTGATCAGTCGTGGCTCTGGATAGTGTGCATTGTTATAAAGCCTTAATGGCACTATTCTCTAAAACCAATCTTGAACTTCTTTTTGGACTTCACTGCAGTTTAAAAAAATTGTCATTGTTGTTTTCGAAACCGTTTGATTCTCTAATTGACAACTTTGTAAAGCTGTTGGTGTGATTTACAGCCAATAAGTAAATTAAATCCAACTTATTAGTATATTTTTCTATAATAACAATAGCAATGGTGCAGTTCCATTATTAGACCTTAATAGCCATTTAAGTTCAGAGTTGACAAGCAGACAGGAGATCAAACTAAAACATGAAATGTATATATGTAGTAAAACCATAGACTGTAAAACAGGGCACAGGAAAGGGATCCGTTCAGAAGTCAAAATGTATAGAATCTGTTGTGAATGGTATGATGACACCTTAAATATCTCCTGTCCTCGCACGTGGAGCTCGATGTCTTTTGATCCAAGGCGGCACTTGACTTCTTTGGCTGAGGTCCCGTTGGGCACGTTGACCTGGACATACACCTCCTCCATAGTCTGGTACCAGGACCCCCAGGGAGTGGTACAGGGGACCACCCCGCTCCTCTCCTCAAAGTGCACGGACATCACGCTACCGGAGCTCCGTACCGTTCACAAACACAGTGTAGTGAGAACGACTGTACGCCCTGCTCACAACAACATGTCATTCATAAAGAAAGGCCACATAGAAATGCATCTTCACACACGAGAACCAACATTTCTATATGTTTTTAACTCGCCACCATTTCCTCCTCATCTCTGCGCTATGGACTCACTTCCGGGTAAGCCAGACTGCAACAGCGCCATCGTGTGTATACATGCAGTACTACGCCTCGAGACTTACGCAAATTGTACATATCAAAAACCCTAGTACTGCTAGTATTTAGCATTAATACACGTTGCATAAATAAACATACTAATAATAATGATAACTACACATTATACTACATTTTGTATCTGTCTAAAAGGGGCTCCATGCTGGTAATCTGTTAATGAGATTACATGTGCTTGCCTTCTTGACTTCTGTTTCCTTATTCTTTCTTACCAGGCGCATGAAAGGCCTCAAAGACCAGAGCACCCAACATAGGGTATGATTAATTTTGTGTGTTTGGTTGTACGTAAACATTAACTCCTTTAATCAAGTTCAGTCTTAAAGTTTAATTTATTGGGAAGAAACTAAACTAAAGAATGGCCACTGGATCAGTAGCTGTACTGTCACTTGTCGTACTTCTGAGGTAAGTCCTCTTTGCTTCATGTTATATAAGTTAACACTAATATCCTTATGTAGTCTTTCAGTGCATGGAAATGAAAGGATTCCCTCCGATAACATCACTCGTATCTTGGACCGATTATTAGATGGCTATGACAACAGACTTCGCCCTGGATCTGGAGGTGGAGGAATCACATTTTTACGACATTGTTGTATTTATATTTAATAGGTTTGTTTGTGCTTTGTACTGAACAAGTGATGTTCTACTTCAGGTGGTGTTACAGAAGTAAAGACAGACATTTTTGTCACCAGTTTTGGACCTGTTTCAGATGTTGAGATGGTGAGATATGGCTTTAGAGATGTTACAGCAATGTGTTGAGATAACAGAGCTTATGGGGCCACTAAACGTCTGCATTAAGTGCAATCTGCCAAGACCAATTTATTGAGCGTTAATCAGTTTCACTGGCACCATGGCTCCATTACTGACGGCCTTTAAATCCATATGACAGCATGTCAGACATAAAGAATGCTTGACTAGTCTGATTAATGATTATCTGGGAAGAGTGGCATTCATCCCTGCTTCTCATTTGGCATAGGACATGGCACTGAGTCAAGTAGGTTGTTAATTGTGGCTCAACAAATGATTTTTTTTGTTTGTTCAGGAGTACACCATGGACATGTTCTTCCGTCAGATGTGGGTAGATGAACGCCTCAAATTTGAGGGTCCCACTGAAATCCTAAGACTAAACAACCTCATGGTGGACAAGATATGGACCCCAGACACTTTTTTCCGCAATTCTAGGAAGTCAATTTCTCACAATATGACGACACCCAACAAGCTTTTTCGAATCATGCAGAATGGAACAGTACTTTACACTATGAGGTAATCAGGGACTGCTATACTGCTCTTTGGGATGGTGTTACAGAACTAAATCATGTTAACAGCTGTTGTCTTGTTCAGACTTACAATCAGTGCAGAATGTCCCATGCAACTTGAAGATTTCCCTATGGATGGCCACGCCTGTCCTCTTCGGTTTGGAAGCTGTAAGAATAATCATATACTGTATTATGTGAATAGGCCGTAGTACGCACATGTTTCACTTACGCACATATTTGACCATACATTCTTCAGCCATATACTTTCGGATGTGAAGTCTCCATAAATCATAGAGGAAGAGAAGGGTAGACCGCTACAGTACATGGGTCTGTAGAAGAGGTCACAGTTCAGGTGCTCATCGAGGGAAAGAACAGATATACATAAAAGTAGTTACCCTCGCTGCAATGCAAAGTGGGTAAAGTGCCTCAGGTCTTATTGCCTACTTTATATTGCACTAAAGGTAATACTTTTGAATGGAGTTGAATATATTTACTTTTTCAGGGACAACGCAAAATAAACATTATGTCATGTGCCAATTTTTGAGGAAAAATGTCGGTTGAGAGGCTTATGGTATTATTACAGTAAGACGACTGGTTTAGAGCCCATTTACACTAAAAATCTGTTTTTATCCTTATTTTATGTTCCGTATATCTGTCTATAAATCATACTTATGTTACATTTGTCTTTTCAGATGCCTACACCAGCAGTGAGATTGTCTTTACTTGGAGAAAAGGACTAAGTGCATCTGTGGACTGCCCGAAGGAGTCCATGAGTCTCCTGCAATATGATCTGGTGGAACAGACGTTGTCCAGTGAGATATTTAAATCAAACACAGGTGACAAATTAGATCCAATGAAACCATGTTTTAACTCGCTCCGGTCACTTAACACTGATGGGAATGTGTTTAAATTAAATCAAAGGACACATCCATGTGAATCAGCTGCCATAAGAGATGCTTAAGTGGTCAGATTAATGCAACCGTGCACTTGTGGATGCACTAAAGTGGAGCAGGGGGAACTGTACTGTATGTGTTTTTGTGTGTATTAATTCATTTGAGGCAGAAATTGTTGTTTTATATTTATAATTTCTATATATTTGCAACCCAATTTACATTTTATCAGCTCAAAATGGAGTGGGAAGAAGAAAAACTAAGTGCTTCCCATAAGTCAAAGGAATCAAAATTGTTTTGATTCAATGTATGTCTTCTATTGGCATTATTTTAGAAGTGTTATGGAAACTTCACATAGTGAGGGGAATCTTAGAAGGTTGTGTTCATGTGACATCACAATATTCAAAAAAGTCTAGTCTAGTTTATAATTGTGGTGAGGGCGAAAACCAGATTTATTTTCTTTTTTAATATAATTCCTGTAATTCCTGAAACGGACACCACGTTCAGCAACGTCTTTGTCAGTACTTATCAACTTTTTATCATTTTTCTCATCAAGGTGTCAAAACGTGGTTTGCATGACTTTCAGACATAAAACTAATATATACATAATACCAATCACAGTCAAATAATGATCTGTGGAAACAATCGGAAAACATGTCTTTTTCAAAATCTCTTTCCAATAGTTTTTTTATTGGCATCTGCTCTCCACCTAAAATGGACGTCTCGAACATAAACTATTCACTATTATTAAAAGTGAAAATCCACAACTGTCCTGGTCAGATGCTGCATATTCCCGTGATGATTTTCTACAAAAGAAACCCAAACAAAACCATACTCTGACTGGACTGCACTATGCAACAGAATATGACACAAAATCAGTTATTCTACAGTGTTCTCCTCAACACTGTCCCCACATCATACACTTTTATCCGTATTTTCTAAGCACCGAGCAGCATCACTTGTACTGGGGGTTATTTATGTTTGAAGGACCGGCAAAGGGCATGTGCGCGGTGCTAACCTGCTGTCCCCTCCAGCACGGTTTATTCACGTGTCCTGTTCGTGTTGCAGGTCACTACTCTGTGCAAGTGGTCCATTTTCATCTCCAACGGAAGCTGGGCTATTACCTCATTCAAACCTACATACCGCTCATCATGGTGGTGGTCCTGTCTCAAGTCTCCTTTTGGATCAATAAAGAGTCCGTTCCAGCTCGGACAGTTGCAGGTAAAAGAGCACAGTTAATGCAGATTAATGTATTCTAGAAACACCTTGCTCCCATCTCTGGGTGGAGTGAGAGACAAGTGCTCACAATAATTGTAAAGCGCTCTGTGACTCTGGTCTGTGAAAGGCGCTATACAAATGAAGATTACTTACTAGGTAGATCACCTTTCGAGTCAATATATCTACTTTAAGCTTAGGACTGAAATATACCACTTGGCATCTTACTTGGTATTTGGTACTTTTACCATCAAACTGCATCTAAACCATTTGGTAAAGGCCTTTAATATAAAACGGGTTAAAAAACAAAAAACCTAAAAACAAATGATTTGTGTTATTAGTGCTCCTACATCTTAGAAAACCCCCCCCCAAAAAATGACATTGCTTTATTGCACCTTTTTTCTTGCACCTCCATTTTCTTTCTTCAAAGAGTGTATGTGGGGATCCAAATTCACTCCTTGAAGAAAGAAAATGGACAAAGGTGCTGCTACACAATTAATGCTGGAGTACCTGAAACCAGCAAATTTACTTTGTAATAAAATCCATCTTGCTCTCAAAACATTTTGGTTCTATCACTAACTTTCACATGCATATATTTCTGGTCTCTGTCTGAGTGAAAAAGTAGAAGTTGTTTTTGGACAGAGGTAGAAGGATGCAAATAAATAAAAAACCCATAATTGTAAAGAAAAAGCACAGACGCCTGAACAATTGTATTTTCTGTAATTTATTTGGGTGCAATTTTCTTTCTACTATATAATGACTTTAAACCTTTACTAAGGCCTAATTATGTGGAACATCATTGAGTACTAGTTCACTATCCAGGCCAATGCTCATGGCAGCATTTGCCTCACATATCCCTGAGTACCCCTGTTTTCTAAATATAAGATTTCTTTTCCCACTATAAAAAAAGAATGATTTTGGCCAAAGTTTCCCAAGCAGGGGTTCGTGGACACCTAGGGGTTTATTTTATTCTAAGCACTGAAACCAGAACACAATGACCACTAAAGCCACTTTTCAACTGTTGGTTCAGTTTTGTTTCAGTCCAAGTTCGTTAAAATCTTAGTCAATAAAACACACAGATGTGGTCAAAATACATACATTATGAACATATAACATTAAAATAATCAAATACAAAGTTATCAAAGTGTCACAGAAATGCATAAAACAATGTGTGCGATACAAAGATTACATACTTCCAAATCTGAACACTTGCTTTTACTAATAGATCAAAAGATTTAATTGAATATAATATACATACAATATAAACAGCCTTCACCATATTTTGACATATTAATATACAACAACTTAACATAATAAGTTACTATAAATATCAATAACAAAAAATGAACACAGTATCTATATTAACCTATGCCCTATTACTTTCCTCAGAATACATTACGAGTACTTCTCCATATGTTTGCAGGTATCACCACAGTGCTGACCATGACCACTCTGAGCATCAGTGCACGCCAGTCTCTCCCCAAAGTGTCCTATGCCACCGCCATGGATTGGTTCATTGCCGTGTGTTTTGGCTTCGTGGCATTTGCTCTGGTGGAGTTTGCAGCGGTGAATTACTTAGCCACGCTTCAGGTCAATCATCTGGAGGAAAAGAGCGGCAAAACGGACAAGCTGGAGGTGCTGAAAGAGGCCGAAGAGGATGCAGATGACAATGCTTCGGTAGGAAATTACAATACATAACAAAAATACAATACGTATGCATAGTTACCAGAATAACTCTTTGTTAAAGAAGTGAAATTGACTTGAATGTTGTATCGTAAAATGTATCATGTGTGGCTTTAGCTGTTGTAGCTGATTACTAACATTTACTATTAAAGAAGAAATATGGTGCATTACTTTTGACCATCAAACATGACAATATGACTATTTCTATTGGATTCCCATGTTATAGAATGTGAAATAATTTCTTAAGCGTAAAATATATTGATTGACATGTATAAGGGTTCTTGGTCTCCGCATGTAATCCCCTATGCTCCCACCAGAGGGAGGTGTTGTATTTGTGCTTAGATTCTACAAAAAATGGTATAACAAAGTATTTTGTTTTAAAAGGTAGGGAAAGGCTGTGAAAGTTGTTAGTGTGAGTTGAGCTTAAAACAACTCCAGGTCTGTTTTTGATGAGACACAGTTCTGTAACGTGGTTAAAAGCTCACATAAGATAGTCTTGCATTATTTGTCTGAGAAAGCGTACACAAATTAAACTAACTTTTGTTTATATCATTAACTCAATTGAATCTAATGCACTGATACAAACTGGTAATGACACATGACAACAAATAGGGCAGCTTGGAAAAAAATGTTGGTCCATTCAAACCAAAATACATAGAAAGTATTTGACTTATTACCTAAGTATTCATTTTTTAATTATTTGGCTATTTCATAAAAAAGTTGTAGCTTGTCTCTTAGTGTCCAAAAAAACGTGATATAAAACGCATGCATTATTGTTATTATTATTTGTATTCTAATTATTATTATTGATATTATTAATATTATAAAATAAGTAGGGAAAACCACTGAACTATTTTTGGGGAACACAATTTCAGTGATAGCTATGGAATTTGGTCGGAATAGTCTTCCACCATCCTTTCGTCTCATGCTGGCACAACAGATGAAATAGTAAAATGTCCTGTTGTAGTGCTCTCCTGTATACTTTATGCTAATACAGTAAGCCATCCAGTGTCCTCCTGGGATCTGCCTCACGTGTTGGGCTCATGGTTGATGCTTTAAAAATAGCCTCTCTGTGAGAACAGAGCGGAGATCCAGCATTGCAATGGGCTCACTATAGTTTCTAATCCCACCAGCCTTATGGGTATCGAACTGCTGCTACACCCCTCAGGGACACATTCAAAGACAACCTCCCCTGGATATTATAATCACTTGAAATCTTGATTGCAAGTTCAAATAACCATATAACAGAAAGTGAATAACGCGCCTTCCTGTGTTGTCTCTTTTCTCCCTCCACCAGTCGGACAGTAACCCCCGGGAAAGCCTCAAGCGGAGAAACCACTCCATGTGTCGTAGTGAGAGGAGCGAGGCAGGGTCGCCCGTGCCCGCGTCAATGCCCGTTCCCATCTTTATGCAGCAGGGGTCGGCCTTCCCTCAGATCCCTCAGTTAGCGGGCACCAGCCCCATAGACAAGTATGCACGCCTGCTCTTCCCTCTGGCCTTTGGGCTCTTTAACCTGGTCTACTGGTACATCTACTTGGCCAAAGACACAATGGAGAAGCCCAGGTATATTCATGCTGCTTTTGTCTGTCTTTAAGTGTGCATTCAAATATAGGAGTGTTTTGCTTGTCACATTTGCAAATCTTATCAAGTTTAACTGCCTCACTGTCCCACTGAGTTTTTGAGTTGTTCCTTGGCAAAATAGGTGGGTTTAAGGACAGTATAGTAATTATCCAGGACATTTAAGGACATTTATAGACATTTATTAGCATTTATGGACATCGGTCAACGACTTCTGCTGTTTGTTATTAATGCATTTACAGTTTGATTCTCTGATCTGTTGGCAAAGCGACTTTGTAAAAACCTCAGAGACGATCACTGTAGTGATTCAAAATAATTTGAATTTCATTTAATTGGGAACCAAAACCTGTGCCTTTTTCTAAATCAAAACTATTACTAATATATCTAATCTCAAGCCCCACTTTTCACATCAAAACATCGACCTCAATGTTTGTCTCCCCAGAAAAAGTATATGATTGTATATGATTTGAAGAGAAACCAGAGTGTACTGACCTAATCTTTTGAATAAATACACCTTATTAAATGCATCTATCACATAATTGTGAAAATGACAATGGATTGGGACCTAAAATCATTATGATACTTACATTTTCTAAGCCCAACAATAAGATATGAGACAACGTGTGCTGGTTAATGTACACTTCCACTGCACCTGTGGTTCTCCAACCTTTCTGTACCTCCAAGATTACTCCTAAAATAATTGATAAATAGTAAAGTAGCAGTGGTTTGAAGTGCCGTTGCTACATAACATGCTTAACAAATGTTGTTTTTTGAGTCATGTACATGCTAATTGACCTCATGTTATTTAAAAGATTGTGTTTTTATGTGTTTTATTACATTTATCTTGACATTATCCCAAGACCTAGTAAGAAACACTTTCCTTGATGTTAAATGCATCTGCTGTGGATGCTGAATAGAATAAACCACTAATATATTTCATATCTTGAGTATAGTCACTAAGTGTAACATGTGGCTACAAGACACTAAACTGTGTTACTTAAAACTGGACCACAATATACACGTACAAATATGAAAACGCTTTAGAAGAACCAAATTATAAAACATGCCAGTGTGCAGTGTTGTTGCACAAATTTGTGTCTTTTATTCTCATTAAAACAAAACATCCTTGGAGACCTTGGTTAATTTCACGCAAAAAACCCCTCCATGTTACCTGTTAGCTGTTAGCATCATTTCTCCAGGGATTGCTCACCCCCATGAGAAAAAAAACACATGGAGTGCGATCAAAACACAATGTAAAACCAGGCTTATCACACCGCGGTGCACTATAGCAACTCCATGACCAAGAGGAAGTGTAGACATTCAGTGCAAAACAGAAATGGAGTGGGACGGGACAGCGATCTGTTACATAACACTGGGGGGTGCAAATCTGCTCATCATGCTCCTCGTGTTTCAGTCTGAGAAATGTTATGTTTTTTGTGTATTTAATAGAGGTAGGTTGTAGACTATTATGAGGCAGGAAAAACAGGTGTGATGGTGTCTGGAGCGGTCTAAAGACAGGCGCAAAGGCAACAGAGACAGCCAGTGTGTGTTCTTTTTAATTTGAGTTTGTTCTTTTGTTTGTTTTTAGGCAATATGATCAGCAGATCTGAGCCTGGGACATGAGTGGAGGGAACATCAGTATCCAGCCAGCCTTGTCTCTGTGTGAACAAGCTCTCAGCATTTGCAGTCCTCTCATCTAACAAAGGGAAATGAATCAGAAACCCATTTATCCTTCTGCTGCACTTTCAGATTCATTTCACTGGCTGTGACCGCTGCTCACTTGTGTTGAGATCAGTCGTCAGGGCGCTTTAAACCCCAAGCACACGCCACTCCTGGGCCAGCCTGGGTAGACCACACACGGACCTATATGCATTATGCTCACTCGGACACACAAACCAAGAAACACATCAAAAAGAACCATATGATATAATCTATGATGACTGTAACAGGAGGTGATGCAACTGTGGATCAATGCTCAGAAGTCTGCCCTCTACAGAAGCCCAGCTCCCACTACAACCACATCAAAGGCAGTTTAGAAAAGCTCCTGCTCCTTTTATTCTCAAAAAATATTTAATATCAGAGAAACTCCACTTAAGTTGTGTTTTCCATTGGTTCTCTTGACTGTGTGTGTGTTTATCTGTCAAAAAGTTATACATCGGTTTTCCATGTTAAGATGGATCAAGTGAAGTTGATGCCTGAAATATTTAATCGATGAAGCTAATACAAAAGTTTAGCACCCTATTGGATCAAGCTTGTAACTACACCCAGCAGGACCTGTTTGAACTAGTAGTAAAAATACACATTGAAAAACAAGAGAGTGAATAAAAACCTAAACGCACCGTTGTCTTTGCAGATGTCTTGTTTCTTCATTACGCAGAACCATTGCCCCTTTAATATATATATTTTTTTCTCTGCGATTGGAACTGCTCATCCACCATCATCAGCCTCTACTCTTTGATCTTGGGCGCTCAGCACGCATGCGCTCCTCATTGGCTCCTCTGCACAGTCTGGAGTAAGTTGGATGCGCGCTCTCCTCACTCGCATCCCGAAGCCATCTCCAAAACTGTTGCGATGGGGAGGATCAGGAAAAACCACTTTGGGATTTTGACTTTTTATTTTTTAGCAAAAATCGTGTGGGCGCAAAGGTAAGGTGATTTTGTCTCGTCCACATCTCCTGTTTTGGTTGTCAAGTAGCCCATGTTAAACGCGTGCCTGGAATATTATATTAATAAGATATTTTGCGTTATACCACCTTTTTCCTTCGCAGCGCCAAGGACCTCAAAGATCCAAGTAATATGCCCCTGGTAAAAGAAACTGTGGACAGACTGATGAAGGGATACGACATACGGTTGAGACCAGATTTTGGAGGTAAAATGTCAGCGACAGTCGTGTTTTCACGCCGCTGTGACGTGCAATACATGTTTAATGAATCGCAAAATCTGTTTTAATTTGCATAATCACCCCTACACAGGCAAATAGGCCTCCCCAATTAGTCCAGCAGATGAGCGATGAAAGAATATTTCATTTGATGCGGAGATAAGACAGGCTTTTAACTTGATCGATCCAGCTCATCACTGTTTCATTATTTCTCCCAAAAGTCAACGTTAGTGGCATAAAGCTCAAGTGTGAGTAAAAATCCCCGCAACTGTGAGCTGTGACAGTCTGCCATTAGGTCTGTAGGCGGGAGATGGAGAATAGTATAACATTCATATGACCAGAATAGACTATTTATGCAATATTTATTTCTGTCATTATTTAACACACACTTTACCCCACAGGTGCACCAGTGGCAGTGGGAATGAATATAGACATCTCCAGCATAGACATGGTTTCTGAAGTCAATATGGTAGGCGTTTATTTTTAACCCTTTTCTATTCCCTCATATCTTTTGTGTGACTGACTTGTTGTCCAGGGCTCTGATAGTGTGATGGGAGGAGTTGCTGCATATTGTGAATATTTTACTGGGCTAAAAATGTTGGGAGCTGGTGATCCAGCCTGCTCTCTTCCCCATCTCTCACGCCTTTTTCACATAACACATCAGCGCCATCCACGTCTCCTCTCCTCCGCTCGGCGTCTCTCTCTTCTCCCTTCAGCATTTTCAGGTCTGGTGGTGTGTTGCCTCTGCATTTGAATTCAAAACACACAGTCACTGGCGCACAGACTGTGCTCCGTATGTGCGCTCCTGGCTGTTTCTTGCTGTCAAAGCCATGGTCAAGGAAAGGCCTATGCTGCCCGTCTGCACACGGCAGGGAGACCCCAATGCCCATCATGTGTCTGTGAAGTTGTTAGATGTGTCTAATAATCTGCCCCTGCCGCCTGATTGTTGTGATGCTGACCCACAACTAGGTTACAGCCCATCCATAGATTTTTGATGGGAATTTTACACAATATTGTATATAGGCACAATATAGCTTTAGACAAAACAAAAAAATATAATTGTACTATTAACCCCTTAGAGCTCTTGGATCCAGTGACCTGGTTTCTTTTAATTATTTCTGTCATTGATTTTAGGTTAGTCCTCTAAAGGCCTATCTTTTATGGTTCAAGACTCTCATCAAATTTCTAGATTAATAATAATAATAATAATAATCGTAATCAGATTTATTTATTTTCCCATTGTAAGTAACATGAAGTCACAAACTAGGAATTTGTTTTGGCTCAAGTTGCATTAAGAAATCATCTTAAAATGACTACTATACACAAGTGCACAATACACAATAGACATTAAGCAGTACAGTTAAAGTGATAGTAGCATAAAGTGACGGTTGAGAAGGGCAGGGGTCAGGGATGAGTGTTCATGAGTCCGACTGCATTAATAATAAGAAATAGTTATTTATAAACAGAGATTGACCTAGTATATATTTCTGACAAGGAGGGTCCAGAAAATGGTGGTTTGTAACAGGCATCTGAAGCCCATCAATAGCCATGGCTGCACTGGGGGCAACTTGACAAAATGATGGTTGGAATTTCACAGCATGCACACATACAAAAATACACACCCGCACACACACACACACACAAACACAGACCCGCACACACACACACAAACACAGACCCGCACACACACACACAAACACAGACCTGCACACACAGACCCGCACACACAGACACAAACACAGACCCGCACACACAGACACAAACACAGACCCGCACACACAGACACAAACACACACCCGCACACACAGACACAAACACAGACCCGCACACACAGACACAAACACAGACCCGCACACACAGACACAAACACAGACCCGCACACACAGACACAAACACACACCCGCACACACAGACACAAACACAGACCCGCACACACAGACACAAACACAGACCCGCACACACAGACACAAACACACACCCGCACACACAGACACAAACACACACCCGCACACACAGACACAAACACACACCCGCACACACAGACACAAACACACACAACCACACACACAGACACAAACACAGACCCGCACACACAGACACAAACACACACCCGCACACACAGACACAAACACAGACCCGCACACACAGACACAAACACAGACCCGCACACACAGACACAAACACACACCCGCACACACAGACACAAACACAGACCCGCACCACACAGACACAAACACAGACCCGCACACACAGACACAAACACACACCCCGCACACACAGACACAAACACAGACCCGCACACACAGACACAAACACAGACCCGCACACACAGACACACAACACACACCCGCACACACAGACACAAACACAGACCCGCACACACAGACACAAACACAGACCCGCACACACAGACACAAACACACACCCGCACACACAGACACAAACACAGACCCGCACACACAGACACAAACACAGACCCGCACCACACAGACACAAACACACACCCGCACACACAGACACAAACACACACCCGCACACACAGACACAAACACAGACCCGCACACACAGACACAAACACAGACCCGCACACACAGACACAAACACAGACCCGCACACACAGACACAAACACAGACCCGCACACACACACAAACAGGTGAAGTGTCTTGCCTAAGTGCCATAGCCATAGTATTCAGCTTCCTGTAACACCTATGAAACAGTCTGGGGACTTGTTAACAATCAAATGTTATTACATAGAGTATATTTATAAAGGGGTTGCGTGTGTGCAACAGTGATTAGCACTCCTTACATTCATCATGCGCCAATGATGCAGATAGAATTAAACTACAAAAAATAAACCCTCTTTACTTTGCACACACAGTTTCACATCTGGGCTTAAAAATATGTGATATCATGTTGATCACTATGCAATTATTATTCTTATTATTTATTAATTATTATTCAAAATCAGGCTTTGACAATACCATTCTGCCCATCATCTTGTACTTTTGCACATGTTTGTATTTTACTGCCACAAGGATACATAATTAATGTTGTAATGTATTATGTTTTGTAAGACCACAACCATAAACAAATAGTAAAGCCAAATAATACAGTTTGTTATGTGTTGTATGAAAAGTGGGCCTGGTCCAAGAATTCATGGGGCATCGTGAAGAGGTCAGGAACAAAGTTGTGTCAAATTTTAGAGCAGCGTTAAATTATGCAAAGATTTCCATTTGAGCTTTCAATTTAATTTAATTTTTGTATAGTCCTAAACCCACTACAGCATTTGTCTACAAAGTTGTTGATTTGCCAGCAACAAATCAAACAGTTCGAACACATGAAAAGCAATATTTACAAACACATAGAAGCTATTGGTCCATAGGGAACAGGATGACCAAGGAACAACTCAAAAAAGCAAAAGACCTCTGAGAAGTCCATATTGAGAGAGGGATCTGTTCCCACTGGTGGACAGGCTATAGACTCACACTGTGTAACGAGGACTGAGGCTGTACGGAGCAGGTCTGAAGAGGCTTTGAACATCTCACAGAGTACTGTTCAGTCCATCTATTAGAACTGTCACAATAGTCACCACTGCAAACTTGCCAAGACACGTCATCAAACTAAACTGAGAAGCAAAACAAGGAGAGCGCTGATCCAAAATACAACCATGTACCCAAGGATGACTCTCGAGGAGCAGCAAACGTCTGCAGACCACCTGTAGAAATGTAGCCTGGGAATCCCCTTGCTGCTGTGTGCGCTAAAATCATTTCAAACTACAAAAATGTTGCCGACATTTCACATGGATTTGGGGACCAGTCACAGAACGGGGTGGGACGGCAAGACAATGACGCACTCTTTGACAGAAGGAGGCTTGTCGTTTGTTTACAGATTCAATGTGACGGCACCAGATGCAAAGCTATCTTTCCTCCACGGCAGTAATCTTTCAACACCATTGTGTAAACATTTGTCCCTTTTTGTTGTATTTCTCATGGATTTCTTCTGCTATACATACATTATTGGTTAGGATGGAAATGATTGGCTATGAGCTACATAGAGACGCATATGTTAGCCATTGGTTGCTCAGAATAAACGGCGTATCATATGGACAATGATAAGGCTCTACGAGAAAATGAATACTATATTCCCAGACTATATACAGTATTCACTTTTGATATTTAGTCTGGTGTTCGCCATTCACCAGGTTAGTGGGAATCTATGCCTGGGGAAAATATCATAATTTGAGCCAAATGTAAAACGTTTATGTATGGCGCAAAACTAATGCTGCTCATCAGCTGCAGTGCCAGCGTCAAATATGATGGGGGAGGATCATACTATGGGCCTGCTTTTCTTCCAAAGGGAACTTTCTTGATTCAGCAAAAGACTTGAAGTAGAAGTGTAGATTTACCTTCTCGCACAGGTATGTTTACCGGTTCTAAAACCTACAAGCTGTGGTTGGAGGTTTTAGTTCCAACCTGAGCAGGAGTACCACAGACTCCACTCATTTCCTCAAAACTTCAGGTTAAAACTAGCCTGGTCTTACCAATACCGTATCGTACTCATTTCATTTTGTACTAAGGTCTGTTAACAGGTGGGAGGGTTCAACTCCTTTTGCAGATTGAAATGATTGGATCCGAGTTTACCGTGACGTATGTAATGCGCCCGAGTGAGTGAGCATTTAGCATTTAGCCTAGCCATCTCCCTTACCCCTAACGGAGCCCGTGGGGAGTAGAGCCACAACATTTATCGCATTTGCCGCCAATGCCAAACTACAGCGAACAAATGCAGCGCAAACTCTTGTTGTCACCAACATCTGCCTACAACACCCGCCTCCCCCGCTCGCTGCATGTTCCGAGGTAACCGCAGCCACTAGGATCAGACCCAGACGTACATGTAGTGAAATAATAATTGACCAGAGTTTACGGATGGCTAAGGCCCAGTGGGGGCGGGTCCGGGCTCCAAAACGTTCATTAGCACATGCGCTGACATGCTTGCAATCTCACTCCTAGCCGGCGGGGGTGTACCTGGAAAGAGAATTACCCAATGGTTTTGTATGGCATCTTCTTTCCTCTCAAAAATGGCTTTACAGGATGGTCCAAAAGTCGGCTCTTGGATGTGTGTCAATGCTGATGGGAGTATTTTTTGTTTTTGGGACCAGTCTAGTTTAGCTGCTATGGACTTTACACTGCATGCGCAAATGCGTTTTAATCAAAATGTTCTGATTGGTGAAAACTACTGCTATCAGTTAAAGAAGTATTTGAAAAGAGCACAACAGATTAGGGCCATTTAATGATGCCTTGACATGAAAATCTTTATTATTGCTACTCTAAGTAGCATTTTTGCAAGCCACTATATGCGTTCCCATATTGGGGGCTAAAGAAGCGTTGGGTGCACATAGGACTTTTTTTTTATGTAATAAAAAAAAGAAAAAAAGAAATACATGATTTATACCTTTATGTTATGTGCAAGCT